TGTATAAAAATCAACGTTGTATTCTTTTAGATATTTTATAACTGAGCGAAAGGAACTTATTGTGTCTGTTTGAAGTTTTAAGGTGTTTGTTGTGCTTTTGCATGTGAATTCGGCTGTGGGTTCGATTCTATTTTTTATGTTAGTACAGAAAGAACTAAAATCGTTTATTTTGGTTTTGATAAATATTGGTGGTGGTTTTTTTTCTAATGGGGCTGGGACGTCTTCGTCCATTGACTTAATTTGATCATCTTTGTCAACTTGAGAGAGAAGAGCGTAACTATTTTCAGTGACAAATTTTGTGTTAGATTGATTTTTAATGTTTTTAGATTTAGGAGAGTTTCCTTTGGAAATAAGATTTGAACGCTTAAGTTTTTTTGGTAAAGTTACTTCTACCCAGTCAAAATTAAAGACACCGTCATCGGATATTTCAGTAGAATTTGATTTTTGTATAGTGTTTTGATTAACTATCTTTATTGGCGATACACATTTATTATTCCTTTCGGAGTTTTTGTTTTGTTTGGCAGTGGGTTGCGTGTTGATAATAATTGATATTATCTACTAATTAGGTGATGATTGCAAGACAATTTATGAGTTTTGAATTGCGTGTGCAGTTCAATGTCCGAGTATCGTGATTATCGTATTATAATAAGTATATTAATGGTTTTCAGTAATAGATTTGGTACTATACGTATATAGGTTTGTATAATTAAAATACTTACACCAAGTCTTGTCTTGGGGTTTTGGGCCCCAGACGGACGGCGATTTTTTTTTTGTTAAAAAACACTTAAAAATTTTAGTTTATTAACACTTTTCGGAACAAAAACGATTAAGAATTTAGTTAGATTTTTAATAAAATCGTAATTATCAATTAAATTAGATGCACACATTACGAGTGCGGGACATCGAATGAATTTTTTTTCTTACAACTTATTAAGGTAAACATCGATGTTTTTGTCGAAAATATCGATCACCAACATCGATGTTTCAAATGTAGATACATCGATGTTTCAAAATTTTTGCCCATCTCTATTAAATACTCAAGCTGATTTCATTGATGCGATTGACACCAGCTGTACCACAAGGTTTTCGCACGTTATTATTTGCTAATATTGTAACTATACAGGACATCGTTCTATTCTTTAAAACCGAACGGCATATAAGCTCGAACCACGACATTATCCGAGAACCCGTCTAAACTTACAGTAAAGTTTTTGATGCAAAATGGTAGACATCAAACGGAACGCCAGCTGGCATGTTTCCGTCCAAAACCCTAAATAATAAAAGAGAGAGAGAATAAAATATTTTCTAATGAAAGTTGACGATATTTAAAGCTGTTTTTAAAATAATAAAAATGTCGTTACAAGTTTTGGTTATGTATATATATAATCACTTAACCTTGATGTTTTAAATGTTTTTAGCATTTTTATTACTTCGTCCTGCATATGTCGCAATAATAATAACGTACACAAACGTATATTGCATACTATTATGTTTACGGCTCGAAACTTTAGGCCCAGAAGCGTTTACCGCTATCGGAAGGACGAGACACAAGTGTTATGGGGGCGCGGTTCGTGGCATTTTAATTCTACGTGCACGTAAACATTTTTACACGTTTTTGTACTTAACTTTTCCCGCCGTAGTATAAACTATCATATCGTGGTCACGCGTTGTAGACACCCAATATGAGATATATTTTCCTGGCCATCAAGTACGACTGCGATACAGCAGTACGTCGAGTACGTTTATACATCCTATGCAAAACAACCGAGTGCTGCAAGTCTTACGCGTGCTGGCACCGCTCAGTGGGACCAAATTCAATTCTAGCTGGACAACATTTTTTTTTTCTCTAAATCAACTTTTTAGTACTTAATGAATGTTTAAAACTATTTTTCAAATAAGAATTAAATTATATTTATAAATAAAATGTACAAAACAAACAATTATATCAATAAGCCGCGTCTACACTATGTCGAATGGTATCGATCGACATAATCTATCGACACAGTCGATTTTCAGCTTGGCCACTATATGTGTGGACTAGTCGACCGACACAACTGTACTGACACGTATATCGAATGTGTTTTACTGTGTTTTACGAGTGAGTTTTGTGTTTATTACTATTATTAATATATTCAATATTATTGATTATAACTAATCACCTATAAAATAAGTGATTCAGAAGACATTGCAGTGGCAGCTGTTGCAATTATAATTGGAGTCGAAGTTAAAAGCCAATAGGTTCGTCGCCGCCGCCCAAAGAGTTTTTGGGTAAGGCCTAGCCTTGTCCGAGGCAGAACAAAATATAGCACTGATGAGTTTATGAAGGATTTATTGCTGGATGAGGTTGATGAACCTAACTTAGAATACAGATCTGACTTAGGCTTTAGAAACTTTTTTCGGATGAATAATTCCAATTTTGAATATTTATTAAGTATGATTGCGCCGAAAATCATTAAAAAAGACACGTCATTCATACAAGCTATTCCCGCGAGCCAACGCCTAGCAGTAACACTACGTTTTTTAGCATCTGGAGATTCTTACACTTCATTGGGCTACCTTTTGAAGATATCAAAGCAAGCAATATCTTACATTGTACCAGAAATTTGTGATGCTCTGATAATTGCACTACAAGATTACATCAAGGTAAGAATAAATAACAAATATTTTAATGTACTGGTATTTATATTAATACATTTTTTTATTAAATTTAAATAAAGTTAGAAAAATAAAATTACATCAAGTTCACTGTCCTTATGTTACTTGATGAAACTTACAACTACTAGTTAAATAATAACTGCTGGTACTCATTTTCAGTACATGTGGTTTGTCCTACCAAGTTATCAGAGGTAGATTCTGAATGAGTAGATGTAGATGACTGCGAAGCAGGGAAGGATGAAGATGAATTTGATGAAATTAACGTTGGAAATTGAGATGACTGGTAGGGGGAAAGCTGGGACTCCAAAGAGAAGTAGTATCGAGGCTCAGATGCTCAGAGAGGAATTTGTAAAATATTTTATCTCTGCGCAAGGGAAGCTGCAATTTCAGTACGATAAGTGATATGATATTTTGTTGTATATTTGATTATTCAATAAATATTTACAATTATTTTATTTAATTATTATTATTGTGATTATTTTATTTACTTCTGTATCATAAGTGTTTTTTGAAATATTCTTATCGGCCAAGAACAACATACTGTTGTATCCAAACCATCTGCTAATATACGCTTCGTCTGCACCACTCCCAGTTTTTCTCGACTCCTTCTCTTTTTTCTTTTCACTAGCAAACTGGCTTTACAAATTTTTTATCTTTTTTTTCTACATCAAATTTATCAATGCCAAAAGAAATCGCAATTTCCATAAGTCCATCATGCCTTTTGTTTTTATTTTTGTATTGTGAATTAGTTGGATCCCACAACCAACTTCGATCACGATACATTTCAATAAAAGAAATTGTTTGTTCATCACTTCAATTCATCATGAATTAATGATAAACTAATTTAATAAAATTAAAATCAAATAAATGCACGCAGCAAAACAAAACTAAACAGAATAAAAATGTATTTTTCAATTTGTGTTATCATATAATTATAACACATAATAACATCAGCTGTAGCTTAAAAGTCGAGCAACATACTTCGACACGTCTACACTACTGTTATCGATTCGATTCTCTTTGATCCGTACCGACTTGATTCGGGTTGCGTTCGACTGGAGTCGACATGTTTCGACAATGCCGGGCGACACGTACACACTTGTTCGAATCTGTCGATCGACACCATTCGGCATAGTGTGGACGCGGCTTTACCGTTGTTACACAAACACTGAAAAATTTATTTTTGACAATAATTGTAGATAATTGTTGTTATATGGCTATAGGTATAACACATATACATTACACATACTTATACTTATTGCAGATAAACCACAAAAGGTTATCTACAAATTCACGATTAATAATCGTCAATTGCACAGTTATTCAGGGGATTCGATCCGGGTAATTTTTAAGGGGTTGAATATAGGAAATTTGTATGTCCATTACCCTGCCTCCCCCCATTCAGAAATGTGTGATTTTTTTCATGCTTATAATTAGTACGTAATTTGTATGAATTTGTACGACCATTTTCAGAATTTGTACGGAACTCGTTCACCGAGAAAAATTAGTTTTTCGCGGGAGGGGCTGGAATAACGTTATTCCAGCCCCTCTCACCAGTAAAAATACACGTTTTACAAAAATTTATTTTGCGAATAATTAGTACGTAATTTGTATGAATTTTTATAACCACTTTACCACTTTTATTTATAACAAAGTGTTATATTAACAAAATAAAAAAAATATTTTCGGAAGAATTCTGTATTTTAAAAATCTCTTGCATCATTATATTCATAATTGTATTATTATTATTTATACAAAGGCATATTGCAAACACACTATTTCTATTTTAAACTTATATTTGTTAGATAACAATAGCGTGGGATAAAAATAGTAATTATTTTTATTTTCTTGAGAAATATCCGATAATATGTATTTTACTTGTATTTATAATATACTTGTATATTACATATAATATTATATAAACTAATAACAGTTTATTTCAATCATTGAGTTCTTCAATATTGTGTTTACCTTTGGAACTTTGAAGTGGGGCAGTGTTTTTATAAATGTTTCATTTTGTTTTCTCTTTTGAAAAATTTTTAGAAATATAATTCTATAAAATAATAATTCGTCAACGATATTATGAACGATATCAGGAAGAAAACCAGCAGTCAATTCTTATAGGTTCATTGACGTTATATTGCACTTCAAAAAATCGTGCCATAGATTTAAATGAAAATAAGTATAACTACATATTATATATACAATTTATAAAAGAGTATTAATTATTAAAAAATATGAAAAATCACCTTTTTTACTACATATTTCTATTTTTAAATCGTTTGTTATTATTTATATTCAATTTACATACAAAAATTTGACTTAAAAATTAAAATTCTACTGACAAGTTTTTATATCGTATACATTATTATTTCGCATGAAACTTTAGTAGTTTCTTTGACAGGTATTGGTTTTTTTTTAGGTCATCAAATAACTCCCAATGTTCATTACATCTTTTCACGTATGTTGTGCAATGGCCTACAGAATTTCTTAAATTATTATTCCCTCTGTGAAAATGTGTTACTCCACGAAGTTCATACGACTTTTCAATAAGAGATATGCCTTTTGGATTATCACATAGTTTTGAATCTAATGTATATCCTGCATCATTGCTGGGTTCAACGTTTTCACCTGAAAAAATATTAGGTATGTTCAAAATGTTGACCTACGATAGGTACTCAAGTTATTAAAAAAATAATCATACCTTTCCAAAACAGAATTTCAATGAAAATAAGCACTGGAAAAATGTTCGATTCAATATTCTGAAATCCAGTGCAGTTTGATGAAGCGTTTTTATTGTGCAAACATGCAAGTTTCTCCACGGAAAGACGTTTATTAATAAATTGCTGCAATTCTTGGATTTGACCGTTGGTAGTTTCATATGTAATGTAGATTTAGGACGTTCAATTACCGATGGATATTTCTCACAATTTTTATTTGAACATATGATTGATTCAATAATTGTTGGAAATTCCAACATCATTGTTTCATTATTCTAAGGCATACTGCAAACATACTACCTATTTCTATTTTAAACATCCATAAGTTTAGATTATAATGGCATGGGATATAAATTGTAATTATTTTTATTTTATTTAAATATATCCGATAGTATGTAATTTACTCATATTTATAATATACTCGTGTATGATATAAATTAATAACAGTTCATTTTAGTCATTTAGCTCTTTAGTGTTGTGTTTACCATATGAACTGTGAATTAGAGTGCAGTTACAAAAATTTAATTTTGATTTCTTTTTTGAGACATTATTTTGTAATAAAAACATAATTTTATTAAATATTTTAATAATTTATTGACTTTATTATTAAAAATGGCTGGAAGAAAACATTTCATTTGTTGAAGCTAATATAATCTTTTTACAACTTTCCGTTATAATTTTTTTTTTTTTATGACAAAGAAAATCTTAAGAAAATTTTTATATCCAATTTTCATGCCTTAAATATTATGATAAATCAATTTTTATGCATTTTTAACTATAAAAATGTATGACTAATATTTTATGAGATAAAATCGGAATTTTGTAATATTTCTGGGTGACTATAAGTTGCGTCCCAATGTACCTTTTTGATATAAATTGAGTCCCGAGTAATTTTAGGTATACTAAATTGCGTCCCGTACATTTTTTGTACATGTGTAAATTGCATCACGGGTATTTTTATATTAAAATTTATATTTATATTTATATGATTTTTTGACTAAATAATTAATTTTATTAATTTTACAGGTTCTCACTTGTAGCTATTGTTAATCTTGTATCAGGAGGCCACTATGTTACCTATATTCAAAGGACAAAAACAAAAATATGAGAGCTTCATAATGATCTGGCCAAAAAAATAACAGTAGTAAAAAAAGATAATATTAGTTTGACGCCGCATATATTAATGTACATAAAAATGTAACATAATATTTTAAATTTATTGTATATTTTTAAAATTATTTTATAATTTTTATAATTTAATAGACATATAAGATTAATCTAAAAGGAATTAGGTTTAAAACAATTTTTAAAATAAAAAGCTTTACCAGAAACTGAAGTTGTTATTAATACAAGAACTAGATATTGCACATTACATAATTTAAAATAAATTATTCTCCATTAATAAATTGGTGTTTCTATATATTTTGTTGATCAATTAAATTGAAAATCCATAAACTACAAAATATAATGACAATTATATTTTCCAGAAAGAACTGATATGCAAAATGAACCATTGGCATACATATTTAGTTATTCTATCACACTTCTGCAATTTGTTAAGGTTATATAATATGAATACCTGAAACCAATTGTTTTTTCAGAAATTATTGACTTCAGGGTGTCAAAACTTCCCTCGAAAATCCTTGTGAATTAGGAATTATCATTTGACAAACATTTTTAAGTATCACAACAATATGGGTGAGCTATGTATAAAAAGGGAAAATAAGATTCATACGTAAGAAATAGGTAATTTTAATTTGATCACAATTTTAGAATTAAAATTATATTCTTCCCAGTGACGGCTCGTAAATTTTTAATGAAGTAGAGCACATCCGAAAAAATTATAAAAAATATTATATATACAACGTTAATAGTTTTTTGTTTTTTGTTTTTTTTACGTCGGTGGTCGATAGTAAATAAAAACACGATTGTTGTTTAGAATTTAAGATAATGACTAACATTATTAGTCGATAATCAGAGTATAATAAACAAATGAGAGTAAAAATAAATCATAATGTCGATACCGATGCGGCAACGTCGAAAATAATTCGCTGAAAACATTTTAATTGGTTATGTGCACAGAAATGAATGTGCACATAAATTCCATTATAACGCATGTTATGTGTTTTGACTTGTTTTAATTTTTACATTGTACAAATGTGCACAGCAATTGTGTGCACTACTGCACTGCTATAACACACACACACACACACACACCGATACTGTTTTGTCGCGGACAACCGCTTGCTCCTGTGGCCTTTTGAATAACCCAATCTAAATATTATATTATTTTCATACTATTCTGAATTTAAATTTTGAAAAATAATCTTAATAACACTAAAGGTATTTAGTTGTATTATTATGTTTTCAATTTTTTTTGGAGTTTGGGTAGGTGCACGAGCACACGAGCCGCCACTGATCCTTTCGTAAAAATGAATTAGCAGATAATTTTTTAAGATTCCATAATAATAATTTAATTCCATAATCTGAAAATTATAATATTGGAAATAATTTGAATAAAATTAAAAATGTTAAATAATTTTGAAATTCTAGGGCCACTTAGAAAGGCTACGTGAAGTTGGCCTACCCTTTTGTTTTTTAATTATAATTCACAAACGGCTTACTCGCAAATTCTCGCAAATAAAGACGCATCGTTTGGTATCAGTTTTGAAATTCTAGGGTAACTTGTAGAGGCTAAGTGAAGTTAGCCCAACCTTCTGTTTTTTAAATATAATTCACAAACGGCTAACTCGCAAATTTTGAAAATGAACTCGCAAATTTCCCTCCTGATAACTTTGAGTGGGTCAAAGGTATCATTTTGCCTCTTCCCACATAATCCAATAGTACAAATATTTGAATTATCATAAGTAAAGAAATAATGTAATATATTATTTAACATATTATAAGATAACTAAGGGGACTTAAGATTTTGATCATGGTTAATAAATTATTTTACCCCCCTTAGATTTTTTCCAAGTTACGCCACTGACTAATAGTTTCTCGAAAATTACAAGACAATAAAATAAGTGTGCCCCTGAAGAGCTCTTCCTCGAATATCTCTTAATGTACGATCAAGTGCTTCCATTACTTTTTTGGGCGCCATAGTATATTTGTCCCATATAATGAGTTTTAATGCTTGAATTACTTAACGCACGTGCCATGGAAACAAATAATAAAAAATAATAATAAAAAATTCAGGGATAGTAATTTCTTTGGCATTAATAATAATAATTATTATTATTGAACTAATAGCAACCATCTATAAACATTTCCATAGTAAATCTCAAAATGTCTGTTTGAGCACCTCCCTGGGTTGGGGCCTATCACTTTTAAACTCAGCCTATCTTCTGCTCATAGGTCTGATATATTTTTGTACCAAATTTTGTCGTAATCGGTCCGGCCGGTTAGGAATGCATAAAAGTCAAAAAATAGACAGAAATCCATTTATATATATATATTAGGGGTCGTAGTCATACACGGTTATTAGAGTATTCGTGTACCCTCGTTACGTGTACACGTGTATTAAATCTATTAATAACCGTGTTTTTAATATACGGGTATTTTTTACTGATACACGTGTATTTAATACTAGCTTGTATGTATTACCCGATAAGTAAATATCAGACACCCATTTGGTTAATAACCAATTATAACCAATAATAACCAATTAATAATTCAGGGTAATTAAAGGTATATTATATAATTATTCAAATATTGGTATGAATCTTGTTTGGCTTTCACAGATTTTTTTTAAACCTAAATGGATATTTCACTCTTATAAAAATGATTTTAACTTGAATATTTTATTATATCTACTTATAATAACTTAATATTATGACTTTTTCTATCATAATTTATATAAAGTGTTTTCTATATATGCCATTGCTCTGGCGCATACGAATTGCGTCCATAAGACCTTTTCACACGACGCCATGGTGGCGCGGCCAAAAGAAACACAGATTATGGTTTTCATACGTGGTGGCATGGCCAAATTGGTGGCGCCACCAGTCGCAAAGGTCGCGACCAAAATAACTGGACGCGCGATCACATAAAGTGGTGCCTCCAAAACATTTATGTGGTTTCTTATGAAAAACGCGCGTTTTTTTCAAATGATCGACCACCAGTCGCGCGACCAGACGTATCTGCACTGTGTTTAACAAAATGGACAACATAATTTAATAATCATAATCAAGACGTCTATTGTTAATTTTTTTTAAATATTATAGTATATGTAGATAAGTACTATATAACTTCTACTATAACAATAAGTTAAATTACCTTCATTGTCTTATATTTTTTGGTAGTACAAAAAAGTTTTTTTAGTAGTATTTTTTGAATACTACTAAATATACCAATATATATCTTACCTTAAAGTTACGATTAATTTTTCTACAGGTGAAATACAGTCTCTCATATCGGTATGTTGGTCGGCTAATTAGGTGATGATTGTAAGACAATTTATGAGTTTTGAATTGCGTGCCCAGTTCAATGTCCGAGTATCGTGATTAGCGTTTTATAATAAGTATATTAACGGTTTTCAGTAATAGATTTGGTATTATACGTATATGGGTTTGTATAATTAAAATACTTACACAAAGTTTTGTCTTGGGGTTTTGGGCCGCCCCAGACGGACGGCGATTTTTTTTTTGTTAAAAAGCACTTAAAAATTTTAGTTTTTTTAACACTTTTCAGAACAAAAGCGATTGAGTATTTAGTTAGATTTTTAATAAAATCGTAATTATCAATTAAATTAGATGCACATATTACAAGTGCGGGACATCGAATGTTAAAAAATGAACAGTTATATTAATTACTTTATACCGGTGGCATTACAAATATAAACATTTATTTTCTATCATAGGCGTTGTCAGCAAATTCGAATGTTTTAACATTTTTTTATATTTATCACGATGAACACCGTTCCGCTGTATTAATGACATTGTTTCCCACCCGTTTTGTAGTTGGTTCACATCTGATTGCCGTTGTATGTGGTACAATGTTACGTAAGTACGAAAAATCTGCGGATAGGATTCCGACGCGTGCGATGTGCACGCAGAGAGCGGTTTTTCTCTTTCTTCTCGGTCGTTTCGTTCCTCGGACTGGGTGACGGAGAGGTGACGGAGACGTGAGCGCACTCGGGAGTGGGTAACATTTCGTCAAACCTTTTGTGGACCGCGTAGTACGCGAGCGTATTATAATCGTTTACAATGCGCGGCGCACGTCGTTCGAAAGCAATGATTGATCGCGGTGTTTCGAAAATTATTTCAACCGAAGGTCGGACAGTAATATACCTATACATGGTATACGCGCGTGTAAAACATACACGCAGAATGTTGCGCGTTTTATTTTCAAATATTTGAACACATTTAATCGCAGTAGCGTGTTCGTATTCGCCGTCGAAACGCAGCTGGTCGCATCCTTCCCGTCCGCCACGTAATATACGTAGAGCTCGACACGAATCGTCGGGAGACGGTGCGCACACGTTCGAGACTCACCCGGGCAATCGCCGAATTCCGTCCCGGGTTGCTGAAAATGACCGAATTCCGTCCCGAAGGCGGAGCAACTATGTCCGAATTCCGTCCCGGGGATGGATAAACTATGCCCAAATTCCGTCCCGACTAGTTTTGGACGGTATTAATATAAGTTCAATTTTTATAGAACTTCAAGAGGCTTCACCTGACATCACGCGTATCGTTTTTTTGTATTATCGCAATTATTCGCAATAAAAACGTAAACGATTTATATACTATGTATTGTGTACAATACCTACCTAATGCAAAAGAATAATGTAATTTTCTTATCGTATTTTATATCTTTCATATCTTTATCGCCTAATCGGCATTTTAAAATAGCTAAATTGTAGATATTCCGCATTACGAAATCGTATTAAATCGTTTTAATATCGAAACTATATATGAAGAGGCATCAGTTATTCGTCAGAAATTCACGAGAGTGCATCGATTGTTATTTTTTACGTTTTTGTTCGTCCGTTCTTTTATTTATTGCAGTATGGCTGGTATTGCATACGAAACAGTGGTAGGTGAGAAAGGCAAACCTATAATAATCGTTGAAGGCGCGAAATTCCGTCGACAGAAACAGTTAGCAAATAATGTAGTTAGGTGGACATGTAGTATTCATAAAACATGTGTTTTTTAAAAATTGACGAAAATGGCACGTGTTTAAGCGATTGTTTATTGATCCATAACCATATAAAAGATAATATCCAGAAATTAGATCGACAAAAAATAAGCAATTCAATAAAATGAAAAGCCGTCGATGATCGATGATCCCTCTGTTCGACCATCAAAAGTTCTCCAGATTAAGTTGCAAAAATCTGGTTCTCTTAACCTCACAATATAAGATGTTACATTGATAAGAAAAAACGTTGGATACACTAGACTTGCCTATTTACCAAAACTACCGAAAACTTTTTCAGAATTTCATAATGCACTGAACGATATGATATTACAGACAAACGAGAATGAGACGTTTTTACTTCATAACGATGCCGATAATAATATTGTCTGTTTTTCAACCGATACAAATATAAAAAAATTGACCGAATGCTCAAAAGTCACGGCTGATGGAACATTTTACAGTTGCCCTAACCCTTTTTTACAAGTTTTTTGCATTCATGGGCTGGCTAATAATGTTTTTATACCATTGATGTTCTTTTTGTTGCCAAATAAGGTACTAACATCTTATGAACGAGCTTTTTCCTTTCTTTTAGAAAAAATAAAATCACTTAATTTGAATTTTGCTCCCGATAGCATACGTGTTGACTTTGAACCCGCGATTCATGCTGCAATTAAGAAAATGTTTCCTCATATTCTCGTATTTGGCTGACGTTTTCATCTGGGCCAAAGCTGGTGGAGAAAAATATAGAGTTTGGGTTTGAGCACTGAATACCGAAAATTTGACTCATCGATAAATATCTTTCTGAGATCGTTATTTGGATTGCCATTTTTACCTCTTAACGCAGTTAGTGATTCGTTCGTATTCGATTTTGTTTCGATTAAACTTGTTGATGCCAGAGTAACTAAGTTCTGTGATTATTTTCTGGATACATTTATTTCAGAGAGTGCTCTTTTTTCCACCATCTATTTGGGCTGAATATTCACCTTGTGTATCCCATACCACAAACAATTGCGAGTCATTTCATTCGAAATTCAACAATTATTTTTATACTTCAAAACCAAACATATTTCAATTCACAGAAGCTGTAAAAGCAGTGCAAACTGAAATTTATATCAAAATGCGGAGTACATTGCCAAAATCAAAAATAACATTGGAGAGAGAACAGTTTTTAAATGATAAAATGATGCTTTGGAAAAGTCGAAACATAGATCGACACCAGTTTGTGTGTCAGGTGTCGTCTAAGTTTTTACCAGCCTATTTCAAATCTAAAAAATAATAATTAAAGAAAAAATAATTTAAATACTAATTACACATAACATATATTATACTTATACTCTTAAATTTATTAAAATACTTATATGACTGTCATATTTATACATAAATGGCATATACTGTAAATGGAGTTTTTTTTTGCTCCATATATTAATAATAAATAAATAAGGCTGTTTTGCCGGATTTTACATTTTTAAACATACCAGCAAAGCTGCCATTCCTAAGCCTGGAGAAAATGTGAAGGAAAATATTACTGCCAAATATATCATAGTTACAGGTAGTAGGACGGAATTCAGACATAGTTGCTCCGCCACCGGGACGGAATTCGGTCTTCAGTTATGGAACCATAGGAGGCCTGGGACGGAATTCGGTACCAGCCCTCACCCGTTAGAGCGCGCCCACCAACGGGTTACTTATCGGAAAGACACGTACTGCGTTCGTTTCGATTGCAGCTGGTCCTGTTGAGTTGTCCTTATCGTGCCAGATTTACAACTGCGATCGAAATATATATACGTATTTATTACATCAAAAATATTTGGATTACATTTTTTTTTTTTTTAATCTTCACAACTCTTTCTTCACACTTTATCGTTATTTCCTACGGCTGCGGGGTAGTAAGGATAGTTTTTCGTTTCCACTTTTGGAGTGACCTGAAAACAGTTCCTCGAACAGATTTATTCGCGAACATCCGTTTTCTTACCCCGTAACGTCGCGTACCTTGAACGAAGGAAAAAGGCCAGTCTGGTGCGTTCTCAAGCTCGTTCCGCTCGAAGAACCGTTCCGATGGTTATTCGATAGCGATATCAGATCTCCTTGCTGCAGTTCGATTTCGCCGTTTTCAGTCGGCTCGTGAGGTATTACGGCTACGTTTAATCTGCGCATTTTACCCGGATAGTTATAGATACCATCTAAGGAAGTAAATCGAATCGGAGCGTCGGGATGCAGAGTGTTCATCATCTCGTAAGCCATTCGACCCATCTACGAAATAAATAACAACTATATCATTGTATTTTGACACGCGCTAGACAGTTTTTGGAAAACCACTCCAGTTGAAATCTATCCGTCTACGTTTACTTTTTGATTCATTGATTTGCGATAATTTTCTCACGTAATTATATACAACTTCGGTGGAGTGTACGTGTATTATTTAGGTTTATAGCAAATTTACGATACCTAGCTTTGAACCGACTTGGTTCAAGAGGGTGGTGGTATAGGAGCAATTACTCTTAAAAAAATGTTTAAAAAAAGTCATAGAGATAGAGCTAGAACTGTAATAGGTTTTGTAAAAACTCGTTGTTCATAAAGTCAACAACTCAACATTCTCAATAAATTTTGATTTGAAAAAAACAATATCAATATTTCTTTGATTACTTCAATGCGTTAATTATTAATGTGTATTTCATTAAACTACGCATATACGTACGTTTGTCACGATTTCTTAAGCTTACCAACCCTCTCTGGCTTAACTAAGATTAATTAATTTGTTCAACTCTACATTTATGTCCCCTATTACAGGTAATAATATGAAATGACGCATATTTTTCACCCTCTATTTCATCATCGTTTCATTTGATATATAGAATATGAAAATTTGAAAATAATTCAGTATTTGTATAAAATAAGAACACAATATTATACTACCTTAAAGCAATTTAAAATAAAATTTAATTAATTTTCTAGTGATACGGATAATTTTCAACTTTAAAACATATTGCATTTTTTTTTTTTTACTATAAAATTGAACATACGTCGAACGAAAAAGTACAAACTAAGTAATCACAGCGTGACAAAAAATATAAGTCAATTATGATATTGTGAATCGTTCGGTTTGCATTATCTTCCTGGCTGGAAAATTTTTTAGGTAGATCTACAACACTAATTATTTCATAATTTGGATATCTAGAGAAGTTCACAGTAGATAAAAATACGATAAAAATGCTTAAGTTATGTTTAAAATATACTTATGCTTGAGTTTATTCAATAACTTTGGATCATATGTAGATAAATAAATCCTTTTCTTTTCATATCCCGATTCCATTTCCTTGATTTTGTAATATTCTTCGACGTGTGACATGTATTCACTTAGCAAACGATGTGGCGGATGTTTTAAATCTTTGCTAATTTGTAATCTAAAATTATTAAAATTAACTAACATATCATATCATTACGTATTTTTCTTATTTGAGAAAATAGTACACTGCTAAATATTGACGAGTGGACCATGGGTGTTTAAGGATATATTATCAAATTATTATTAACTGTAATATTTAATTTCAGTATGTCTCTAAAAACAAGAAATACTTAAATTTCAAACCGGATGTCATACATTTTCATTTTCAATTTCATATTTTTAATTTATGTTAAAAAAACTGTTTCAACGTTCCGAAATGATCTAAAAGTTTTAGATTTACGTTAATCGATTTCGAGATGATATTTATTTTTAATATACTAATTTATAATAATTGATAATTATGTTAATTTTTATAATGAACGGGCTATAAAAATTATAATATTTATATTTTTACGATAAAATATTACACGTTTCAAGGATAATTGTTGGTAGAAACAAAAAAATTGCGAGCAAAAATGTTACCCGACAATTGGTGTTTGAAATTTTAAATCGTTGAACAACCCATCAAGCATTTGACTTGTAGACGGTCGAGGACGGAGAATGAACTTAAGGAACTGACCGATCCACCAGACGACGGGATCGCCATGCAGCACTCGGAGCGCGGGAGCGAGGTCCTCGGGTATCTCGAAGGGATAGTGAGGATTTCGGGAATCGATGAAGTGCGATATGTCCAACCAAAGCACTTGAGCGTCTTCGTTACCTAGGATTTTTCGAACTGCGTTAACGTGTTACCATCGTGGGGAGGGTGATGTTACGTAATTATTGGGAAAACAATGCAACAAAAAAAGAAAAAAAAACCATTATGAAATACCGGGCCACTTTAATGTCGTTTGGCCGTGAGACGTAAGGCATGTATCACTTAACGGCAAAAACAGTGACTCCCACTCGTCGCCTTGCATGAGCCAACCATCTTCCGCCGGAACTATTAACGTCCTTCCGTTCACGTACGCAATGACCAAACAGTTCAGAAGGATATGCACGCGACATGTGAACCCGCAATCCTGCGAAAATCTTCAACGTACAACCTGTATGCTATTATGTTTGTCGGACGGGCACGGTTCGTCACAGATCTTTTGTAGACGACCATCCAACAGATATTCACCCCATTTTTCGTGGGACTTTTTTGAAAACAATGCTCCACACTCTCAGATTTTCGACTACCACCACATTAATAACTGATACCTTCCAAGATAAATTCTGCTTCATACATTTCTCTTTAACAACTCAACGAATCATTCTTTATCGTTCCCGTGAATAGTACATTTATAATTAAAATATGTTCAAATACCAGAATGATGAGCTTACGTAATAATGATTCTCAAGAAAATTAGAGAAACGCTACAACAAAACGTAAGGTTTTACCGAGTCGATGAAAGTCGAATTGCAGATCAGTTTCTTGGCCCCTTTACAGTACAGCGGATTTTGTAAACGGTTCAGCCGCCACTGCACTAAACCGCTCAGATGGTCGAACATCTGTTGTCTCCACCGGGAATGCTGATCGACGTCCGCCAGCTTTAAATTGTCCAATAACAACGACATGTAGTTCTCGTGGGCCAACTGTTTTACCCTCAAGAAATTCAACGCATCCATGTCTTCTACTAAGGTTTCCAACGCGTTAAACTCAGCATTGGCGTAATACCAAAACTCTTTGGTGTTCGAATAGATTCGACGACGTAAATACTCGTAATCTTCGGACGGTTGGTGTCCCTACACGAATAAAAATATATTAAATATTAACACAGTTTAACACGCTTACGACAATCCTCTATGGACATAGAGAATCGGACCGTTGTATGGAAGTAATAAAAGAAAATTTAAAAAAAGGTGAATTATTAAACATGGTTCTTGTATTGTTTATCTCTAAATTTTAAAACATATACATTTTGAAAATTTATACTAGTTGTAGATCGTGTACATTATGTTATTAAGGAACTATAATGTGAAATAGAAATGCATTAATTAACAAAGAGCAAAAAAATGGAACTTCGTTTTGTATTATTATTTTCTCTTACTGAAAAATCGAATACTTTTCTATGTTCTGAGTTTTTTGTAGTAACATTTTGTAAGTTTCAGCATGAAATTTAAAAGCTGATTTAAATCAGTTTTAATCCACCCCCAAATTCCATTATTTCAACTAAGCAAGGATTCAAGTTTTTTACATTTAAACTTTTTTTTCTGTGAACATTGTTATTTGTGAATATAAAGACCATATTATTTTGAAAATAAAATCTTTGTAACCGATATCGTTATATACGATTAAAATTTATTGCACATGAGATATAAAACAAACAAATACGATTACAATTTTGGTAATCATTTTAGTTGAAATATCATCGTAATAAGCGCTTTCTACTATATGCGTTTAAAATTTTGTTTTTACAAATTCAAAATCAGTTGTTCGTATAAATCGCGTTGAAATAGTACCTCAAAGCTGTTTTGATATTTCAGTCTGAAAACACAAAACACATCAGATTATTTTAATATCGTGTCGTCCTTTACAGATATAACATAATAAGGCGTGGAAGATAATATAAATTATTATTAAAGTAACATTGCAGTCGCGAACCAATACGAATATATAGACGTAATATTTGATGAATAGATAGATTTATTATTATGTTAACTTAATGATTTATTAACGATCGACTGTAAAATATACTGTGCTAAATATCTTCTAAGCCTTGAACAGATTATTAAAAATGTGTACAATTCGTTCAAGGCTGATATTTGATCACTTATTTCGGCGTTAGTTACGCTTATTTTATCGATTTTAACACGGAGTATTTCGTTTTGTTGAAAATAAGATGTTCTTCTATCGTTTCTATTAACACTCTGGATTGTTATTAAATAAATACAACACATGATCCATATGAATGTTAAAATATGTATCCAATGATCCAACATAATAACAGTAATCGTTTCTAGAGGTGTTGAAAACGTTTTTATACAGTCTGCAACGAGATAAGACATCATTATATAAATAAATAAAATGTATTGGCGATTAGATATTAAATAAGAAATCTATTTTATAAAACAGTAAAACCATCGTCATTGCATCATTGTTTTAAACTATTACTATAAAGATAGTATTTTACTCTTTACTATTTAAATTTTTATTTAACCTAACCTTGAAGTTAAATTTGAGTTTTTAGATAAAACAAAAATCGTGTAATAATGATGAGTTTTAACGGACATGATATTTCACAGTATTGATTTTTACTTTAAATTGCTTACGCTCATAACCTGTTAGCAAGGGCGCACCCAAGGGGGTGGCTAACGGGCTTTAACCCCCTCCCCCCATAATGGCTAGCCCCAAACATTTTGATAATTTTATTAGGTTTATTGACAGTTGAAATTTGACTTTAAATTATTATAAAAAAAATTATCAACTATAGTATATCAATTATTTTATTTAAGCCACCTTCCTACTTAAGAATCATTTGAGTATTCTTTAAATAAACTTTTATTTTTCTGCAAACGTCTGAACCAACTTTGTTCTAAATGGAATTTACAGCAAACTATTTTACACTGCGGAAAACTCTGAAGAACAGCATTGTGTGCAGCTTTAAGATTTCTGTACATATTTCAAAATAAATACTACCTATTAATATTAAAATTATTTGAATTTAGCCACCCCTAAAAAAAAATCCTGGACGCGCCCCTGCCTGTTAGTGCTTACCCTACTGGTCACCAATCGATGTAATGAACTTAAGTGAAATTTATATTTCGTTGCAACTCGATATATATTATTAAGTTAACAATAGTGATTCGTATTGTGATACGAATAACGTTAAAAATTTCACAACGGTTGATATTAGTATCGAAATATTACATATTATACACTGCAGAAATTACTACTTTAAATATTATTATGGAATTTGTTGAGTACACAACATTGATAGTTCGTAACACGCGTGATTATAGCTGTTAAATATAACTAATGGTGATTCCACTGTTTTAGAAATCGGAAAAAATAAATATACTCATATATATATATTGCATATATGTGTGTATATAGCACACACGTGCAAATACAGTAATTACAGATAAATAAACATCGAGTTCACTTACCGGCAGATATGCAGTACTGTTATGTATTACGATAATCACTGAAATATTTTTTAAAACCGTATATGAACGCAGCGCGACTTCAGTTACGTTAACGCGAAGTTCAAAACTAAACGGCTGTCATTGGATAACACACTATTATTGTTATGTATACACGTAATAATATACGTGTCATTATTCCGAATCCGTTTGATGATTTATTCGGTACCGTTTACGACAATTAATTATTTTCAAGCGCACGTTCTGTATGTTCGTTATAACCGGATTTTGAGAGTGGCAAAAACACATAACGTATTTTTATTTTGTATACCGTGGTTCAGATATCGCACCAAAAGTAAGTTATTATAATATTATTATTATTTTTGTTATTTATTATTTTTGCTACGAAGGTAAGCGTTTTTTCTTCTTGTGAGCATGGTTGTACAATAAAATGTGTTCACGTGCACCCCACGGGACGACAGTGTTTAATCACTCGTAAATTAAATTTTAATTACTTTTCAATATTTGGCCGACATCGTTTGTTAAATCTACACACGTGTAAAAGCGACCGCTTCGAAGCCGTTCCGAATACCTGTATTGTTAACGGCTTGTGTGTACATTCTTTACTCTATGATGTACACTGCTCGGTCGTATTACGCATGTAATAATTTATTACCTAGCTGTTACAATAATACCATGAGTATACTTGTCAAGTTGTACCATTAGTTTTTGATTTCCCCTTCCTTCTCGTTCATAATACAGTCAAACCTCGCTATTTAACGAAACTTTCTGGATCAGTGGTACGATACCTAGAGGTCGCGATCCTTTAGGGGATCGCTAAATGTTATTAGAGGGTCGCCAATATTTTAACATCAAATGAAAAAGTTATATATTATTTTATTTAGCTTTATATATATATATATATGTATATTTTACATTTTATAAAACTTTAATTTTAAATTTTTATGTATATATATTTTTTTACGTTTTGGATTAATTAAATTAAAGAAATATCAAAATTACCTAAGATTAACGAGTTTAACGTCCAGTCCAGAGTTCAAAACTATTTCAACCCTCAAAAATATGATTTACGGATATTATTTTCTAATTGTACCTATACATAGTACCTAATAACTACTTTAAATTTACTTAAAATTTAAAATTAATCAGTATGGTAGTTTTGGTAGTACACTGATTGGTAAAAGAGAGTAGTACATATTTATAGATTTATGTTTCGGAGCTTTAAAAAGTATGTTAAAATAAAGTTTTGAGAATATTAAACCACTTTCGATACTGTTCATCCTGGATACCGAAAATGTACTAAATTATGTTTTTAATTCTTTAAATAATTGCGAACAAAAAAAGAATTAAAACATTTATAAGGTGTATAGATAAAAGTAATTATGTGTATGTATACAAGGGGTGACCAACCCAAATGATTTTGCGGGCTACTTTGGAAATACATTACGAATCCGCGGGCCACATATAAAATTATATTTGTATTTTGCTCCAATACAAAAAACTTTGGAGTAAACATTTTAAACAGGATTAATTGTTATTAATAAAATAAGTTTTGGTGTATTAATTATTTGAAAATAAAAATAGAATGAATTAGTATTGTTTTTATAACCGTATTTTGAATCTAATTCTTTTGAGAACTCTTTAAATCGTCGATGCGAAAGCGCATGTGATCGAATATAATTCACTGTTTTTATGTCTACTAACATAGAATAACATGGTTCATCGACAATATTTGGGAACAAAGATTTTGTTGATGAATCTAATAGTTTGTTGCGATTATGTTGTTAATAATACGGCTTCCGCGTTGTGCGCACATTCCAGAATATTCTATTGGGAAAAAAATAATTTTTTTTTTTGTAAATGTTTGATATCTCGCGGGCCCCGAACATTCCAAGGTGGGCCACATGCGGCCCGCTGGTAACTTGATGTATACGTTATGAAATGTACAAACCAACGTTCTATTATTTATAATTTATCAGCGTACATTATTGCTTTTATTGTTATAAACTGTTGTATACAAATTTATTTTTCGTTACACATATTGAATTTATTAAAATTTGTCTAAATTCCGTTCAGTGAAAGCGAGTTTTTAATGTGTAATTTTTTTTATTAACGAAAATTTTATTTTATAATTTTATTTTCTAAATTTTATAATTTATCATCGGGGGTTTCGTAACATCGATATTATAATATTGACAGTGGACACGAAAGCAAATGAAATCGGCAACAGTCGCTGGGTGTAAGTACCAGTGGCCTACATACGGGGAGGGTTTCCGGGTTCAAACCCCCCCCAGGGGCCAAAAAAAAAAAGAAAATTGTTTTATTATTCATGACGTGTAATATATTCGTAGTTTCATTATTACGCTTTGAACTTAAAATATAGAACTATACAAATATTATGATAATTAATTAATTATATTGATAGGTGTTTGAAAAGTTTTGTTAACTATGCTGTTTTTATATTCCAATAGCTATTAATTTACTATAATATAAAAGTAAACTGTAAATTGGTAAAAAAGTTGTATAAAATAATAACTGTTTATATCAGTTATTTATCTTATTTATTTGTACAACGAAAAAAAAAGATAAAGATTATTTTTGTTAACCCCCCCCCCCCCCCAGAGCAAGATCGAATGTATGCCACTGGTAAGTACTTCGCTATGTACTGCCGACCACACTCGGTCCGTCGACCCTATACGATGCAATGACGGTGATGATAACAGAGCTATATAATAATATTACGATACTAATGCACGGTATGCGGATATGTAAATAATTTTTACGATGTTATTACGCGATACGTGACGGACGTGTGGACAAAACGAAAGTACACGAGCTGTATTTAAAAACAATAATAATGGCTGTTGGGCGTCCGCGGTAACGAAACGGAATCTTCGAACCGGAATCATGAAAAGTTAAATAATACTTCTTAGGGCGGCTATCGCGTACGATTTCGTAATTATGATGAATCCCTCAGTTATGCGTCACCCCGAAAGTGTGGTTTCGCGAAGATGCTACTCGTGTTCTGCAGGGGGAATGGGACAGTTTGGCGATGTAATTTCGACGATTTACCGACCCGGCGATTCGGTGAATAGTCGTGTATACTATTGTATTAAAATAAATCTTGAACCATCGAATATTATCGATTACCTATCACAGTATAATTATCGTATGTTTGAACTTTTAAGTATTAAGCTTTTTACTTCAAAATTTTGTACGAAATGATTCTTAAGACGAATAGAGACATTTTTTTCGAACGATGTATGTTTTGGATGAAGTTAATGTTTACGGTACTAGACGATTTTGAGGATGCCGTTGCGACGTAAAATTTATTTAATTTTAGTTGAGTTTCATGGGCAATTCTAAATATGAACTTTAATATATTTACAAAAATATACCTATGATTCGGATTAATCGATATTGAATAACGAAATAATACAAATTTCTTAATATGTATATAATCGGTTAAAATTTTGTTTTAAAATTAAGAACCCTGATACTATTCAAATATGTATGCAAATAGTTTTTTCTTGATAAAAAATAATGATATGATTCGAGTTTTTTTCACCTGAATATGATGGTATTAGGAATATGTTCCTAATGCCATGGTAGAAAGAAAAGGAAAACATAATATTATAAATAATTAAATAATAATGTAATTCAAAAATTAGTAAATGGTTAATACTCTTAAATAAATATTTTGTTGGTAAAAATTAACAAATAAAATGTGTAATTTGGAGAATTTTGAGATATATGTATCTCAACAAAAACCTATTGTGAAAAATGGCCAAGTTCCAGACCATCTCCCAAAAAATTCGGCATATAAAAGTAAAAATTTCTATATGTTTATCAATTTGCTTTTTCTTTAGTCCATAACCTCATTACACTCCTACATTCATGAGAAACAAGGCTCTTTTATTTTTATTGCTTTATCCTTGGCTAATTTCTCAATGGAGCATAAAACACACTTAGCCTACACAATATATATTACTACTTCATAGTATCGGTCTAGAACTTATTTATTTTCTTTTAATTTTCTTATGGTTTTCACGTTACCCATGTATCACCTACATATGTGTGTGTACATGATACTGATGTCAATGTGTCATCAGTGCCGTAGCAACCAAACATTGCGCCCGCAGCGAAACTTCAAAATGCGCCCTTATGTATTTTTAATTTAAAAATATTATTCTTATTATATATTATTTTCAATTATTAATTTAATTGATATGAAGGATGTTAAAGATTTTGTACACAAAATATACGACATTGACCGTTGTAAATTTTAACATTAAATGCCAGATTTTCATTTTTGCTCTCTACCAGAAATTGCGCCCGGGGCGTAGGCACTCTCGACACCTCCTTACCACGGCCCTGTCCATCATTATAATGAATCAGAGAGGTCAAAACTAAGAAGGCAAGTAGAACTTGGTGATGCACTAGTATGCACTCAGATTTTATGACCGTTTTCGAATTAAAAATTTTTCTCCGTCTAAACCACTAAGTCAAAAAATCGTGACCGATTATAAAAAAAAAATGAAGGTATATATAGAGAAAAATTTGTTATTTTACATATAAAATATAACTTTAATAAAGAAGATTATTTAAAATGAGTTATATTAGGCGTATATACATATGTTAAGACTTATGCATTTTTTTGGTTATAATTATTATTTTTTATTATTATTTATTATATATTTTTTATTGTCCATCATAAATAATCGGTTTTAAATAATTATATTAAAATTAGTTAAAATTTAAGTCGTATTCATAATCGTGTTAAAAAAACAAACACATGCGGATTAAGAATAATTGACTGTGTTGCTAATATAGTCATTCGCGAATTCTTCAGCATCGCATAAATTTATGATGCCGAGGTTGCAAGTGTTTTATACTGTATACCTACCGCATTGTTGTTGACGTAATGACGTATAACTATGCGAGCAAATGTAAACTGGGCCCGCGATTACCTTTTTTGTTGTAAATTCGCCTCCGAACATTTTAGGTAATAAAGTAGGTAGATTGTAAACTCGGTCCCGAAATTTCAGGTAATAAAAAAGGTCGGTTGTAATCTCGGTCCGATAATATTTACAAGTGAAATAAAATGGCGATTTATAAACCACAAATGTACAGCTTTTTAAAAACGTTTAAAATAAATAATGATACTACAGAGAAAAATGATGATCATCTGCATGAACCTATCAGGGACCAAGTACTACAACGACAATGTGTTACCACCTTGGCCAAACCACATAGGAACTGAGGATATCTGCAGTAGGCCAAACAAAATTTTTTGTAGTGCAGTAAACAATGTACCTGACGCGCAAAATCTACAAGTAAATGATATTCGGTATGTTAAAAGAAATATATACAACGCCTCCTCGTGGTGTCCTTTGGGTAATGCTAAATGGTTCTCAAAAATATTATAAGAAAATTATATGTAAATTTTTATCCGGACCGAGTTTAATCATAAATTATTTTTACATGCAAAAACCCCGGGCCAAGCTTACACCTAAATTATTTTACCTGCAAAAACCCTGGGCCGAGTTTACAATAGACCTTTTGAAAATTTTTTTTCCTAGGGCCGAGTTTACAATCGCCCAACTATGCAGCATGAACGACTCGAAATGAACAATCGTAAATATTATGCCACTAGAATTCTTGATTAATCGACTTGAACATGCTTAAGATTAAAGCGCCGTCAAGGGGGCGATAGGGAGCGTGGCGGAGTGGAAAATGAGGAATATAGTTAACACTCGCTGTGATTTAGACTGCGGAAAAATGGCTGAATAATGACTATAATTGCGATGTTTCGGCTATGTATTTTATAATTAACGTTACCGAAAGAAATTAGTGTACAAAAATATTATAATGTATTTTTCATACATACACACATATTATTTGCGTATATTATGGTATATTCCATTGTTCAATAAAATAACCCAACTAACCGCATTCGTGTGTACTATAACTAGGGATAAGCTCCATATCCTTGACCCCCACCCCCGCTTTGGAAATTCAAAACCAAAGTTATTCCATTCGTTTTGTTTAAATAACATTTAAATTTATATATTTACATATATATATATATATATATGTTACCGGAAAAGATGACATTCAGTCAGTATTGACAATGACTAGTCAATAACGATAATGCCTAATTTAGTAAGGAATTAACGTCAATAACTAGTCATTAATGAAAATTCCTAAAAAAAGAAGGCATTGATGATAATGCATTTCATTTAAATCCATTTTTAAACAGATTGTTGAAAAAAGAACAATGTTATTACACGTTACGATTCACTACTTCAATGCACAAATAGTACCGTACAGTCACTTGCGGGATGTGACCATAACGATACCAGCTACGATAATTCTGTATAGCCAATTTTATTAAAGTGCATATGTTTTTGGTTGATCATACATAATGTTCTCTAAGAACATAGTTCGTTTCATGTAATGAGGGTTTCAAAACTTCCAATTTTATTTTGCATTTTTTTGCATATTTCGACGTTTTATTATTCTTAATATTATTGGGTCATTTTGTTGGTTTTTATTGCATATTTGTTCGATATACTAAACAAATTTAGCCTATTCAAAATAAAATCAAAAGACAAATTATTTTCTTGATATTTAAGTAGGTTTATCGGGTTTTTCCATACACATTGTCAATCTTTATTTTTCGATTCAGTTTTTATCTTATCTTAATTTATGACTATAGAACGTCACCAGTATTCAGACTAATAACAAATACATAATTGGTCAGTTCATATTACATCGCAAATGTTGCTCGTATTACGTGTGTTTGTCATTTTAATGTATTAAATAATGTTTTAAATAATGCCTAAAATAAAAAAAATTATGTCATTTTTATGATAAAATGCATTTTTTAAGGACATTTTTGGCTATTTTTTAGAACATATTTCTATAATTTTAATTGCATTTAAAACCGGGCCCTAGTTATAAGCAATAAAAATGATAATATAAAACAGGATTTACCATATTATATACTAATAAGTAATAGTATAGATAGCTATTTTCCATAATCAGATCGATCACCGATAAAGCACGGTATTGATATTTTTTTCTATTCGGATTTATAACATTGCTAATATAATACAGAAATGTTGATAAAACTATGAAATATCCAACATTGCCTAACCTTTCCAGTCATTGTCAACAATGACTAGGATATACCGACAATTCCTGAATTTTCATCTTTTCCGGTAACATATATATATATATATATTTATATTATAATATATTTATTTATATAAATAATATTTTAAAAACTAATATATTAACATTACATATAATACTATTCATATATTATGTATATAAGTAAAAAAATATTTAATGTATACTGTATTGTATTTACATACGAGTATCTAAATGAAAAATATTTTAATAGATTATTAATAGGAAATATATGTAATTTACTACATAGTTATAATTTATTATACATATATCGTTATTATAGGTCCTATAAGGAATTTTCAAATCTACATATATTATTTTCAAGAGAAAATGTAACTATTTCATTCCAAATATCTGAGAATAAATCTAAATTTCTATCATTTTCAAATATATTTATAATTCCATTACTAAGACAAGCTGCTTCACCCAATGTCCCATTGATATTTTGTAATTTATTGCTTAAAATATTGGTGTAGTTGGTTTCATAACAAAGTTCTTTTATTAGGCAGGTTTGTTAACCCTTACCTTGTTAAACCTTAGCCCCCAACCTGGAGGACCAGACTAGACCAACCAGTTAAGGTCAGTACAGGGCTCAGGACCCCGGGTACGCCAAACCCGTAGCACGAATTAGTGCATCCCCTGAGGGATTGGATTCAAGACTGGTTTTTGGAAACGGAATGCTGATTTTAAGATTGCGACATGGAATGTGACAAGCTTGTATAGAACAGGTGCAAGACAAAATCTAGCTGATGTCCTTAACAAATACGACATTAAAGTAGCAGCCATATAAGAAATAAGATGGTTGGGAGTAAGACAATTAACAATTGGAGAATACACAATTTTCTTCTTTAGAATGGAAAATAGGCATCACTTCGGTACTGGTTTTGCAGCCCATAGAATATTAGTACCGTACATTAAAGAGTTCAATCCATTATCCGAAAGCATATCAATATTAACCATCAACACTAGCCCAATCAATATCTATATAGTAAATGGACAAACACCAACAGAAGTAAAAGATTGACAATGTGAATGATGGTTTTTACGACGAACTGACTGAAACATATGAGAACATCACTGGGAACGTGATAAAGATTGTACTAGGTGACTTCAATGCAAAATGCGGACAGGAAACCCAGTACTTTCCCTGCATAGGGAAAGAAAATTTGCATAGTAACAGCAATGATAATGGTCAGCGATTGATAGCGTTTTCAACATCAAATAGGTTGACTGTTAGTAGTACTACGTTCCCACACAAAAATAATTACAAAGCCATGTGGAGGTCACCGGATGGTGAAATCCTGAACCAAATTGACCACGTTCTCATACAGTTTAAATACCGTAGTATAATTTACGATGTAAGAAGCCATAGAGGCACCGATTGTGACACGGATCACTACTTAGTGATTGCCAAACTTAGATCAAAGTTAAAAAGCCAATCGAAATTAAAGCAAGACAAAAGGGTCAAAATTAATCTACAGTTACTAAAAGATGAATCCGTGAGGAAAAATTATGAGAACGAAGTCACGAAGAACCTTAAAGAGAATATTGCACAAATGGACGTAGATTTGGATTGGCAAATAGTGAGAAATGTTGTTAACAAAGCAGCGGCCACTGGTATTAGTGATCTAAAAAGGTCAAGAAATATCTGGTATAATGATGTTTGTAGAATTGCTATAGACAAACGCCGTAAAGTTAGAGATGACTTTATTAAGAGCAACACTCAAATTACCAAAGAAATTTTTATACGGGAACGTAAAATCTGCAAAAGTACCCCTTAAAGGGAAAAAAGAAAATTTTTTAGCTACGTACTTCAAACTGCAGAGAATGACCATACACAAGAGAGAACTAGAAACTTTTTTAGAGTCATTAAACAGTATATGCATTTCAACCCTATATGGAATGCAATCAGAGACCAAGACGAACAAATGCTAATGAAGCCAGAGTCAAGAGTTGATAGATGGAAAGGATATGGAGGCAATCATCATACCAGCGCACAAAAAAGGAGACAAGACAAAGTGTGACAATTATAGAGGGGTATCATTCTTGAACTCCGCGTACAAGGTCTTCTCTGGGATATTACTAAATCGCATTATCTCTTATTCGGAGGATTGCCTAGGTGAATACCAATGCGGTTTCCGGAAAGGCCGTTCAACAACAGAACAATTATCCATAATAGGTCAAATAATTGAAAAAAGGTACGAATATCGGCAAAATATGTGACAATTATTCATAGACTTTAAAAAGGCCTATGATAGTATCCACAGAGAGAGTCTCTACAATATTATATATGAGTATGATTTTCCAAAAAAGTTAATAGCACTAATTAAAATGTGTATGGAAGACAGGAAATATAAAGTAAGAACACAAAATGTAACATCGGGAACCTTTACAGTGGAAACCGTAAACAGAGACTAAAACAGAGGGATACTCTGTCCCCAATACTATTCAATCTGGCCTTAGAGAAGGTAGTAAGAATACTACAGGACAATGAAGGTGGTTTAGTAATCGGTCAGAATAAGATACAGCTCCTCGGTTTCGCTGACGATTTAAATATAATAGGTGATTCGCTTGCAGACACAGATAACGCAGCCAGAGTGCTAGAAGAAGCGGCGAAGAAAATAGGTATCGAAATAAACACCGAGAAAACAAAGATAATGGAACTAATTGAAAGTGGGGAGGATCCCAGCGAGACGGAGAATCTAGCCTACGAAAAGTTAGCGATTTTAAATATCTGGGACCTTCGATGGCCACATGTGGGCATACTCGCCGCACGATTCTAAAAACAAATAATTTTGTTTTTTGACGCATCGGACGCAAAAACAGACGAACGTATTCATCTATTTAATATTAACCCGTCATACGGCGCACGGAGTAAATAATTACCTCAAAAATATTTATATTGTGCCTAGGTAATAAAATAATGTATTTAGGTGTTTGTCCTCCTCAGTAGCCTTAAATAATACACCTATAAATATACTGTTTGTTGTTTCATGTTATTTTTGTATATTTTGTTTTATCTAGAACGTATTAATTACATATTGCATCTATGATTGTACCGACTATAATTTAAATTCTGTTTCGCTACATACTATATTTTTCGCTTACCGCTACGATAATCAGTTGTAAATTCCCAAATATGAGTTACCTACATTTTATTATTAATTTTTTAATATCTATAGAAAGCTTATCATTATATTGTATGATATATTTTAATTTTACATTTAACCCAGTAGCGTATATAAGGAGGATGCCTTGTAGGCTATACCCCCCCCCCCGAAATGTTTCAAAAAACTTAAAAATTATTTTAAACATTTGTTATATTTTATAGATGCTTTATGCTTGTTTATAAATAATTTTATAAAAAAAAAAATAGAAAAATGATTTTAACCTGGTTGCATTTATTTTATTCAATTATACTTCAATAGTTCGTTAAAATGTTTTAAGGTTCTCAATTTATGGTTCAACGCTTTTTATTAAGAGTTAATTATATAATAAATAAATAAATTATAATTGTATAATACATTTTATTCATAGCATATTTTATTATAGAAATACTCCTGTAGACATATATATATATATATATATATATTAAATAGTTAAGTACCATTTCACATATCCTTTATTCATAAATACAGGATTATAATTACTATAGGAAATGCATAAATAATGTGATCAGTTGAGACAATTCTTTAAATGAAATGTAGATAAATAGTACCTACTGTGTCTTTTTATTACCTAATTTAGGTACCTAATTCTTAGACAGTAGTGACAATTTAACTCTGTCCATAGTAGTCCCTCCCGAAAATATTTTCTGTATACGCTACTGAGTGATACAGTACTCTTTTTGTGTAAAAATTGTTCTTCTAATATTACTTAAATAAACAAAAACGTGACAAGTAATTAGATTAGTTTTAAGTACGTCTTCAATTTTGATTATTATAAACAAAATAAAACAAAGTACATCAACACGAATAAATTATTAATTATTTTCCGAAAACTTTGATTTAATAATTCAAAGCTTTCAATCTTTGTCTTATAAATTCGAATACAAAACACCGTGTTCTTTATCTATATTCCACAACCTTGAATTTTTCATTTTTAATTACTATTAAAATAATAGCAAGATACAATTCTATCTTAGAACCGGTTACAAATATTTCACAAGGTGTATCAATGGAAATTTATAAAGTTCGGGAACATGTAGAGGAATTGTTAAACATGTTAGAAGACAATAGAATAAATACAAATTAAATCTTTGATCTATTATTTACTGACGAAAAATCTATAGCAGATGATTTTGAATTCACTGTTACTTGTCCCAGAATTACCAGAAAACAATCACCTAGAAACAATTATTCATGTGAATCTCCCAAAGACTACTATTGAGTATCAATACTGTTGTCTATCAAAGAATTTTTATTAATTATTTTTTTTACAATTTTCAAAAAAACGAACAGATAATTATAAAAACAACGAATAACATTTCTAACAAAGTTTTGATTTTGGGGGTCTAAGCCCCATCCCCCTCTGCCTATGTCCAGCATTATTTAGGAAAATGAAAAAACAAGGGTATAATGAAAGCGTAACTAATATTTATAATTAAGATCTACTGTGTTAGAGTTCATATTAAAATATTTGATGATAATTGATAGTGAACGAGATATTCCAATAGACTAAGAAAATGTGATACAGACACTTTGTATCTTTAGTTCATCTCTTTCAAAATCCCTTGTAGGCTAGATTAAAGAAATAAAATTATCTCTAAAAAAAAACAAAATATTATTCAATTAAATATTGTTTTATTTACTAAAAGTTTACTCATAAATTATAATCTGTATTATTATACTGTTTTTTGTTATGAAAATACATTAAAAGTGAAGTCATTGAATCTTGGTTCATCAATTTTAACTAATTTATTTTGTAAATCGTAATGTTTCAAATAAAATATAAATTTTTGAGCGTACGGGGTGTGGGTGCATATTTTTGATGGATGGTACTTTCTGAAAATATATTTGACAATAGTACTTTTTTAGAGCTCGGCGCCACTGGTATTCGCACCTAAGCGTAGAGACCAATTTTTTTTTTTTTTGTGTGGGTGGGTATTGAATACTTTTATTTTGCCACCATCCTCAAACTGTCATATATCCAACTAGTTTGCGACTCTGCGAGTCGCAGAACTGACAGAAGAACAGAAACAACAGAACTGAACAGACTGCGACCGCGACGAGTATGAATGAACCCGGTTTATCATTATCGTTGTTACTTGAACTGCGGTATCGTGATCAGCCACGGAACGTCACGATATCACTTATCATACCCGTCGACAGTATCAGCCGCGGCGAAGTAGTAGCGACAAGAAGTTGTCGCTGCCGCAACCTAGTCGGCGTAACGAGTTTACGAATAATAACAATAAAACGTACCATTATTATCAAATTTATTACTACTGCTGTTGTAAACAAACGCTACGAGTGGGCACATTCTTCACATCGTTTCTCGTCGATGATTGCGCTCGTGGACTGACAAAAAAAGACCATGAATCGCCGGCTCAAGAACGTTGTGTACGCTGCCTCAGCTGGGATTTGCGGTTCCTCAGCTGGCGCGTTCAGCAAAATTGGAATGGGCGTCGACGAGTTCTTTGGCATCAACCATCAGGTAGTTGAACGCACAAACCGCTTATTATCATTAACAAGTCAGTTGACTATCACACAGTTTTTATTAAAGGATTTTTTTTAATTTTTTCTGTTCTCAATGGTACCTACTGTTTTTCTTTTGCACAGGCTTCATACACAAATCTGGCCAGATTTGCCATGGTAGTGATGGTTGTGCTGGCCAATATAGGCGTTTGGCTCATGTACACTAGATCTTTACGGTTCGGTTCCACTTTAACCTCCACTGGTATTAGCATTGCTTCCAATTATATTTTTACAGTAAGTAATCTGAAATTAGATTTGCATTTTTTTAAAATAAATATACAGTAAAATATACACTCCTAATCCATTATCATAGTATATTTTTCTTTTGCTATAACCTTCCTGTAATTTACTGTATATCTCACCCTGTTGCATGTTATTTTCTAGTACTATATAAATTACCTTATCAATATGATGTATTTTTATTTTTAGCTTAAAAATAACATTATTTAGATATATCCAATGACTATCGTAATACAATTTATTAAGAATTCTTCCAAGATAAAAGGAGTTGTGTTATAGTTTTATATTTATATTTAATATTTATACACTTTTTGCCCAAATTACATGTTAATGATACAACTTAATTTGTACTAACAAATATGCACCCATTAATTTTTAAAAAAATACTTGAAGTTATGTATAATACTGAAAAATGCTTAAAATAGTTTATAGTTTATAGTTTATTTTTAAATCCTTTGATTGTAGTTATATATTAAATTACATATACAATTAGTTAAATGGATTATTTCTTTGACTTTTCAGCAACACAGTTGTGAATTTGATTTTTTTATCATACTAATAAATAATTAAGTATATTATAAAAATACGCTGTATTATGATTGTGTATACAATTTAAAAATTATTAAAACAAATATTTTTATTCCAAATTAATATATCTGATTTTAACTTGCTACATTACAATCAACAAAATTGTCATAGTCTATACTTTCACTGTATATTCAATGTAACTAAGTATTTAAAAAAAAAAAATATTGAATCATTGTTTTCTTTCAGATTTCAATATATTATATTTTCACTAACTCTAGTTATTGAAAATGTTAATAATCATTTTTGACTTAACCCCCCTCCCCCCGAACTCTCAACTAAGAATATAATTGTATACTAACACAACTGTTTTAACAAATACTATAGTAAAATTATAGTAAATAAATAATATAAAAAATCAAAGTAATAATAAAGAATAATAAAGGAAGGAAACAAACAAAATTATGCCTTTTACAAAATCTAATTTTCGAAATTTCTTATAAAAAAATTGAACCATAATCATTTTTTAGTATATTTTACATATGTGATATTTAGGGAAGGTTTTCTGGCCCTTCTGAATATATTTAAGAGTAGTTTAAGAGGATAAAGAAAAGTATCCTAATATTACAAATAAATGTAGATTGATTTAGGTGTTATTAAAGTTCATTAAAAAATATAACTATCTGGCTATGTCTAGAGCGCAATATGGAATTTTGCTACATCGGATGGTAGTCGTGGCCGAACTTCCATTTCTTACATACTTGGCATTAGCAGTCTAATGTACTATAGTGATATATGATACATGCCTTAGTTGGGAAGTAGTAGTGTCTACTCAGCAAATATATATATCATATGTGTAGACTAATAATAATGTAAAAATTGTTACTGTACCTATATATTTTTATAACATTACATGTCCTACATAACAATGAATGATCTTTAATACAAATTTATTAAATTTGTTATACATTTATAGTAACTCTTAATTTATTATGTTTCAGGCTCTCACTGGAGTACTTTTGTTTGCAGAAAGCTCTTCGATCCTATGGGCGTGTGGCACACTTTCCGTCATGATAGGAGTCATATTGATGTCAATTTGAATATGGTATAAATTAAAAATGATATGATCTCATATGTATTATATTATTGTTAGTAATTTTTTTTTTTAAATTAATGTCATTAGGAAAACAAAAACCTTGTTAACCAGTAGCAGCACAATGTTGATTTTTTTAAGCAGTTGCTTTATGATTAAAATTGGTAGGTGGTAAAATATGATAAAATTTCAAATGGGCACAGTTTTGATTATTTATTAAGTATATTTAACTTAATCAAAATGTATATTTTGTATTGGAATGGGGTAAAAGATGGGTACTTGATACATGTACCTGCTTTATTGGAAAATAAACTTTGTGCTGTAACTGCTGTCAACCATGTTTTATTCATACACGAGTAACATAATATTCCTACATATGACTCATTAGAACACACATGGACAATTAAACACAATGTTAATTAATACAATTATGGTTGTTTTTTTTTCTTTACATATGTGCGACAACACTAATAGTATGTTAATTTTGTTTTTAACTCTTAGAGTAAACAGGTTTTGTTCTGAAATTTAGAAAGAAAAAAAATGTCAATTCTCATGATTGTGAAATAAATGAAAAAAATAATTCTCAAGGACAAAATTCTATGCTAATCTGTAGTTTGTTTGAAAATATAAAATAATCGGGTGCACAAAATATTATTAGCATTTGAGAATACGATTTTGTTTTTTTAATATGGTCGATGTTTGCACCCCAAAAAAGAGTTGAATAGGAGTAATTAACTAGAATCAAAGGGAAAAGATGTGCAAACAATTAAACATCTTTGCAATCGCTAAATTGTATAACAGTTATCGGTTTCATGAATGGTTGACCACCATATAATAAATCATCTCAGTAAATCTTGTGTATATTACAAAACTAAAATATTCTCCCTGCCGCCTACATGTGGTGATGGTGGTGGTAGTTATGATATTCAGAAAAATAAAGTAAGTCCATTTTTAAAAACAAAAAAAATACTGTTATATTGGGTTGTGAACTGGCACAAGACTCAAGTAATATAAAATAGGGCTAAATATAATAGTTACCACATCACAGTCTCTTTCACACAGATAACAGTAATAAAAATTAGTGTTCCAATACTAGTATTACATATTACATATATATTTCAATATATTGGTAAACTACCAGACATACTAATGATATCTTTCTTAAAATTTTAAAATTACAATACAAATAAATTGAGTAAAATTAAACAACATTCATAATATTATAAACAATATACTAATATACATACATACAAAAACATCAATGTATGATGATGTGTTAATATTCATAAATTGTAATTATATAACTGGACGGAAATAAATATAAAAAAATAATATATTAATTTATTAATTCATAAATAAAGTTTTCATATCTTTTTTTTTTTCATTTTTTTTCTCATTTATTTTTATACATTTATGTATATCAATATATATATATAATATACAAACAAAAAAACCATGTTATTATAAATATATGTTGATAATCCGGTGAGAAAAAATGAAAAAAAAAAATAAAACTGTTGCAAATAAATAAAATAAAATATAAGTGTAACGACAACATCAACAAAATATGAGATAAACATGTCTAATTGGAAGACGCTAAGCCCCAGCAACTTCCCCGATCAATATTATTAGGAACATTTGATGTGTGTGTGTATTATTTATATATTTCTGTAATTTTCATAAATTTTGTTTGACTTCTAACAATTCAGGATGGTTTTCGACGATGTTTAACAGAATGTTGTCGATGTAAGTACGCAACTGATCGTTGACTTCTTGTTGGTCTTTGAGAGCGGTTTTCATCTAAAACGAACGCGAAAGAAAAATTATTATCAACAAAATGGCTCATCGAGTTTATTTTATAATATAATCTAAATATTGATTGGTAAAAAGTTTTAAAACTGAAATAAAATGACGAAACACATGGCAAAACGATAATATGATAATTATAAGTCAAATATATTTTTATCGAATGTACAATGGGAAAAAAATTAATATTACCATACATGCAAAGCACAAACAAAATAATATATTTTATTAATATAATACATATTACAAGCGTATATTATTAAAACGTTATGTAGGTGATTACAACATAATTGAAGTTTTTGAAAACCACTGTATGGTCTTTTAATTAATATGGCGAGTGTGTAGTATATTCCTTTCGATCTATCATCGATACAAAGTCATAACATTTAATTATATTAATAATTGTTATGATAAAAAGAAAAAAACTTGCATAGATAAGACGTAATTCGTTTTCCCACGTCACACTCGCCTGTTTTATTACCACGACGGCATTGAGAGTAAACAATTGAATCATTTTTATTAAACTTATATGATATGTTATGTAATAATAAATTGTCATTACAAACGTATTTATTATGAATTAATTGATCGATAGACTGCTGATTAGTCAGCGAGAAATGATTTAATATTAATTCGTAATTTCATAGTAAATTCCGTTATCGATTTGATTAAATTATAACATTATTATTACCAAGTGCGGTTAATAGAAAAATTATAAAAAAAAAACATTAAAAAAAAAATTGCAAGCAAATCACACTGTAGTGTTAATTCAATCCAAAAAAATATTTTATAAAAACCAAACTGAAATTACCTTGTTTATTTGCAAAGACGGGGGATTGTGCTGTGGAAACGAGCAAAAAATAATTATACATTCCAAGTGAACTTTGTTACATAAAATATTTAATATAATATACGTGACACCGCGGAGAGGTTGTTATTATTATATTCGTTGGTAATTAATCACTAACTACTTATACGACCACTGTTGCGGTCTGATGTATTATTTTGAATTCACTTTTGTTTTTTTTCGCGAGTGAGTACAAAAACATTACGTGTAAGCTTACATTACTATGCTGCAGTTGCACCTAATATTAGCCGAACGAAATTTTTTTTTTCCAACGAATTTTGAAATTATTATATGGTGTCGTAGGTATCTAATAATAATTAATTAACACTGTTCGCTTACGTCGTCGTGAGTCAAGCCATCAAGTTCGGATGCGAGACTCGGAGACTCGGTCAGCAACATCCTGCCTTTTTCGATGCCTTTGGCTATAATTGAAGCTTGAAGTTCGTCGTACGAATCTTTTAACGCTATGAGCAAACGGAAAAAAGAAAATAAATCAACAGGTTCTTTAAAATAGATAATACATAAATAGCGGAAACACTGCATCACTCTTACAGCGGTTCTGGTGTTTCAACGACTCCAGCTGAGCTGTGAGTTCGGTGACGTATGGCGACGGCGAGTGCAATTCAGTGACCATGGCTTCTTTTTCCAGTCGCGACACTTCCAACTCTCTGGTAAGACCCTTGATGATCTACCACACAAATAAAACTGACACAATAAATACACACTGCTTGGCTACATTACGTATATTGTGGATATAAAACAATCGTACTTCTTCGTTGTCTTTTTCCCTCTGTTTCAACGTTCTGAGTTCGGCATCCAACAGTCGTATTTCGTCTTTGAACGATTGCGCGCCCACATTAAGATCGTTCACCCGTTGTTCCAATGAGATCTTCTCATGACGCATCGTATCCAACGCGGACTTGCACTTTTCCGCCTCCAACCGTAGGCTCTCATTGGCCGACTCGATACTTTGAAGTCTAAAAACAACGTTCCAATGAGTTAAAACTTTTACTATACCTGTACTATGTACAATAAAAATCGTATCACTACAGATATTACCATACAAGTCCGGGCCGAGCGTTGCCACTTTCAAGGAATGCGGACAGAAGTAAATACTAAGTATATACTACCCCGTTGTTGCACAATTCTAACTCAATAGTTATAACCTTATATTATTTTATAGGTAAAAATGCTCAATAACCTCAAGTAAACTATATTATCCAAACAGAAGTACGCTTGGCTAGATTTTTTTTCACATTAAAAACTACATTATTTTCTACCGCTTAACCAAAAATAAAGTACTTAAAAGTTATTAGTCTGAAACGTTCTGTATTTGAGCCGCCAAACAATCCTATTATTGTACACACTGTTTAATGTATTGAATTGTTCGACCGATATAAAAAGGAAATTGTAACATTAGAATCCAAAAACGGTTTTTTAGTCTTAAACAAAACGCAAAAATCAATATACAACGACTAGCGGTCATATTATCTGTACACAATTAATGACAACGCCACAATACAACAATACCTCCGAATGACTGAGTAATTAATACCAATAATGTTATTAGTAGTTTTATAAAAACGTAACATTTCAGGTAACCCCCATGCACCGTCTCACGGAACACTCGATCCGAACTTGATTTATTTATTACCGACGGTTAGGTTTTACCTTATGGCACAGTTATCGATATGCAATTGTTTTTCCCTGTCAACCCGGGTGACGAGCTCCCGGTGCCTGCGTTCTTCGGACGCCAACCGCTCCTCGCACCTAAGCTCGGTGTCACGAAGTTGCTCTTCCAGCATGTGGACGCGAGCTTGGAGCGCAGCGTTTTCCTCCTTGGTGCGCGCATACCGTTCGTCCGTGAGGTGTTGATTATCGGCCAACGCGTTCATTTGTTTTTGCAACACTTGTACCTGTGTACGTACATACACACGTTCACGTTACAATAATTATTACACAAACGCATTTACGTAAAAAACCAATGTATATGTATTTGTACATTGTACGGCGGAGTTGCAATACAAAGGCACGTCGACGTGACAACAATACACGCGCACGCTACACGCTACTGATTACAATAATGATTATTGGTAGCAGTAGCAGTAGAAGTATAAAATAAATACCAAATAATAATAATAATAATAATAATGTATTCAAACTACGGGACGAAATTACTTTTTGCACGTCAGACATGATGTGAGGTGATTTTCGGGGGATTTTAGTCAACTCCAACAAGTCGTCGTCAACGGTCGAGGGGCCGGTGTCGTAAGCGTTTCCCACGAACTCGAATTGCCCGTCCCACATGTCGAACTCGAGCTCGGGACAGCAGTTATCCGAGATCTCGGCCTTGCTCGTTTTGGATGCCCATGACGACGCCATGACTAACATAATGATGACCTCGCGACGGCTTCACGCGGACTACTGCAACGCGACTACGATATTTTTTAACGGTCGACTTTTGCAACAGAAGCCATAGCCATAGTTCTCTTATCTCTGAACCGATAACGGCAGCATCATTTAAGAATTGTTGAACTCGAATGCGCGCGCGTAGACTGTTACGTCGGCCGAGATACGACGACTGCGCTTTTTTCTTTCAGTCAATGTCTATCTCTCTTTCTCTTTCTCTCTCTCTCTCTCTTTCTTTTTCTGATTTGCTGCACTTTGATCTAAGCACGCGAATATGATTCGTACTCTAATAATAATAGTGATGACTGTTGTCTTGGCTCGGCGACAGAAATGTTATCCCAAAAATGTAGCAATAATTTTGCGATTCGTATAATATTTTAAGTAGCCGCCCACCGCGCGAACTAACAACTGTCGTACTACGGTACACGCTTCAACGGACGGTGTAATAATAATACAATTTTATTAACAATAATACGATAATTATGGCCAAAAAACAAACGTTGAACATTTTGTGCGCATTATATCGCGGACTGGCAACAACAGCTGTAAACAGATGATTTCGACACGGTTCGTTTGCCCAACATTTTCGAAAAAAAAAAACTAACTGGACCGCACGCGAAAATATATTATTATTACCTCACCCAGACACTGAGCAGCACCGCGACAACAAACGTTAATATCACATGCACGACGCACACGACAACGTAACGGGACCGGTACGCAGACTGCGAATGGTTTGGAAAATTAAAAAAACCTAATAAATATATGTTATACGACGTACACACCGATATATATGTTTATTGCGACAATTATAGTTCGTTAAACGATGACGACTGGCTTTTATCGTCACGTCGGCCCCCTACCGTCGCATGATGTGATGTGCACCACAGTCAAGTGCGACTTGAAAACGACCGGTCGCTGTTCTGCCGAACTATATTTATTGCATCGTAAATCATTGTAAACAAGATTTGGTCTATAGATAATACGCGCGTGATGTACATCCGTTTCCGATATTTATCACAGGAAGTTCAACGATCACAGCGTATTCCGCGCGCTGAGAACCGTTAAATCGAGAGAAAAATAACGTCAATAAAATGCGAATAACAAAAAAAAAAACATTTAAACTGTTGCAGAACTAATATTATTATGTCATCGTTATCAGTTCAAACGAAAAAGAATATCGATTCTTGTCCGACCACGGTGGCAAGTCTTGGAAAATTATTTTTTCCGTTCAATCCGTTGCACTACTGCATCACGGTGGTGTTTGATTAAACAATGTAAATCATAACACGTCCATGGCGGGAAATCCGTTCATCAACTACCACCAAGTGTACGTGATGCATATTTTTGACTCGCCTTTTATTGACAACGATTTTGAAAAGCAAAGTTGTTGTAAATATAGTATAACACGCCGAAGTCGATTCAATGTTATCGTCGTTCACCATGAGAGTCTGTTTTGTTTTCGCATAGGGATTAAAAATAATTGGTCGGCGATCGCCGTCTAACCCGTCGAGTGTAACAAGTTTAACAAGTGCACAATCTTGGACATAATACATACGGTGTACCGTAAATGAAAAATGTCGAGAGCACTCTTTGTTTCCAACAAGTGGACGACGAAATAAATCGATTCATACGGTGGCGGCGGGCTAAGGAATGTTAATATACGTTCAGTGTATTAGTGGTGCGCTGCAGGATTTATCACACAAAATACTAGTGTAGAAATAATGATATGTCTCGGCAGGGAAAGAGATTGAGGAGGAATGTAATATTACAGCGGTTCTTAACCTCATCAGGCATGCAAACCTGTGAAAATAATCTTTGAATCCACGGACCCCCGAGCTTATGAGCAATACAATATTATATCAATAACTCATTTTTTCAAACATTTTAATAAAATGCACGTATTATAAGTGTGTACGAAGAAAGAAGAAAACGTCGAGGGCCTTAACAGGTTAAAAACGCCTGTAATATAATAATAATAATAAAAATAGTAATGAACGCTGGACGGCAAGTACATGTACCTTATTGTTGAGGTCGAGAACATCCTCTTCGATGGACGTGTCAGAATACACATCATCGGGCGTATCGCAAATAGAACTACGGCCGGACGAATTGAAACTCGAGCTCCGGTATAGTTCACTGTAACATATCAACCGGCGGCGAAACGTTAGTACAATGATGATTATTTTACATTCGCTTTATTTTTTTTTTTTTTACCTGGCGAGTGCGTTTGAGCTGATCCGTTTGCCCGATCTGTGTAAAAAATAAAAGTATAAGAATATGTATAATTATTTTATATAATTTCGTGATAACCATGCATTACAATATAAATAATAAAAAAAATAAAGGAAAAGTAGTCGGTAAAATCAGCTTAACATGTATTTGTATGAATCACCAGAACGTGTTTTTCTCCGAAATATCTATTCATTAGGATAATAGCTGCGCCAGCGCCGCACGGTACAGTAGCAGCGGCCATGTGTATGGAAAGCGACTTTCTATATATTAGTAATGTTCTTAACACTATACCATACACGTTCTATACATATGTATATGATAAACACGTGTAGTAATTATAATAATAATATCTTATCAGGAATTATCACATTTTTTGTAGATAAAAATCATTTGTTGAACGCGCAGACGAGACATTCAGAAAATTGATCATAATCAGCTCACGCCCACAAATCAATGTATATTATGCACGTTGTCTAACAGCCCCTTTTTGTTTTCACCAAACTCTACACTAAATTAAGTACCTAATTATTTGAAAAATCAAGTGAATGTATATATTTTCAATGTTTTAATAACAATCAATAGGTATATTCGTATAGAAATCAAGTATTTAATACGTATTATTTGGTACTTTACTAATCGGTAAAAGCTTTAGGATAAGTGTTCAATGAAGGTTTTCAAGGTCAACATTTATCTTTTATTATTGCTATAAATTGTTTATAAATTAATGAAACAAAAACTCCTTGAGATTAAGTTATTATATTATTTACTGGTAAGTTATAGAAATACAAAGAGATAAATGATTTAGTTGACTTCACTATTTTTTGCATGCTTAATCGTTTTACAAACCAGTGAACGATTACCATTGAACGTTGATAAATATTCCGGTATTCGTATTTCGCTCAATCAAAAAATGTGCTTAATATGTGACTGAATTGCACAATGGTGGTGGGATACCGAGTGAAATTTAAATATTTTTACATTCAAACTTAAGTTTTAACGACCGCAATGATTGAATACATGGTTAAGTCTTAAGGACGTAAATAATATTTTGAAGTGAAACCGTTTAGTTTTAATAGCCTACGGTACCGGTTTTTTAGATATATTTAATATATTAGTCCGTTTCACTATCGAATTCTAGAGTGTATAGCGTAAACTCAATGGAAAGTAAATTTCGTTAATTAGTTGGGAAATATTCAAAAAATTTTTTTTTAGAATATTTTAGCATACATGATATTACAGTTTAGCTTAGTTTATTATAACCTATATATGTTTGTTAACATCCCGACAGCATGATTGGTAGGTATAAGATACGGATGCAATAAAAACATGCTTAAAACTAGCTGACCCGGTAAACTTCGTACCGCCTAACAATAAATGAATGTAGTGATACCTTTTAATTAACATAATAAAATAAATACGAAAAATGTATTAAGTTCAATGGTTCATTAGGGTTATATATATTCGTATAAAGAAAATAATGATTTAATAAAAATACAAAAACATAGTATTTCAGTGGCGGGTGGGCAAGACGTTTTCTTTTATAAAGCTATGTATTTTGCTGCATGGATTACACTTGAGTTGGTTATCTTCAAGGAAGCACCTTGTGATATATATTTTTCTTTTTGTTATAGGCTAAGTGTTCGGCTGGTTGAAGTTTTTATCGAGAAATAAACAATCCAATAACATTATTTGAACGAAATTACACACATCTCTTGTACAGGGATCAAAAAAAGTGGTGAATGTCATTTTTGAAGGAAAAGATAGTCGCGTTTGAAAATTATTTTCAGTAAAATAAACACGTTTATTATTTTTAAGATGCACATTGAAATGTGGTTTATTTGTGTTTTTCTGTTGTTATAGCAACAACAAAATTACAACTGCCCGTTCGGGCCTTATCAAGAATACTGATGCTTCCCTTTCTTTTTTTTCACGACAAAAGGTAGCATAAATTCTTCTCCAAGGTCTAATCTATCTCTATATTAAATTTCATTACAAATGGTCCAGTCGTTCTTCAATTATAAATTATTTAACCAAACCAACTTTGTTTTATTTATATAATATATAAAAATAAATAATAAATGTAATAAAAAAAATATATTATTTATATTATTTCAACCATTTTTATAGAACATAATTTTTTATACAATTAGCGAATTTTTTTAAGGGATGTTATCAGTGAAAAATTAAAATTAAATTATTGTGTTTTTAGTCCAAAACAACTAACATATTTTTTAATAGATATAGTAATGATGGAACACAAATGAATAAACGAAATATAGAAAATATTTGTTTTTGCTATTATTACTCATACTAATAATGTTAACTGGAATTGTGTTTCGTAAAAAAAAAAATAATAGTTTCAAAATACAGAAGTCTAACATCTTCCTTTTCAACTACAGCACGTTTAAATTGGTTATAACTCAATTTATCTATAGCTGTGATCCTAAATAATGTTTTTCTATCCAAAGACAAGAAATTAATATATAAATTGATTTTCTTCTGTCGGTCTCTTTACTTATAAACATATTCTAGGAATATCTACAGTGAAACTTGTTGAGGAACTATAAAAAAAAAAACTAACGTATTTTCACTAAACACTAGTGCGAGCGATGATAATTATATTTTACAAATACTCTGGAAAATTACAAAACTCATTGAAACAAGGTCGTTGTCCGAATGATAAGCAAGCATTGACGGCTGCAGTAACTATGCGTACAAGGATTACAGTAGTAAAGACAAAAGAATTAAAATTACATCAATGATCGAACTATAACATCTGCAACGAATGACAAATACTAAACGATGATTATTGTTAAGAACAATATAATATAATTCTTTAATTTTTAAATTAATAAAGCAGTCTAAACGAAAAATATTTATGAACCTAAACAAAAATGACTAGTATGTGTGCGAATAGTTCAGGGGAGCTACTAACACGAATATCACGAAAAAACGTTACAACAATCAAAACCACTTATAACAATACATAACATATTATTATAGCTATTATTGACCAATACCATATTTATTATTACATCAACGATGACGTCGTGGGCGAAATTTTGCAATATTGCGGATAGGAATTCACGTGAACTCGGGAAAACAATGCGCGATGGTAAAATCACCATATGGAACGATGACTACCTGAGTGTATCCGTAGAACCAGACTAATGCCATATAACAACAGCAAATACCTGCAATAGGTACAGATAGTAACAAAATTGACAGTTATTTCTTTCCAGAACACTACACAAGATTATAGCTGTGAAAGGTATTATACCTTTTTATTTTATAGAACAATTGATTGTAACGTTTATTTTAATATTGTCGTCGTTTGAAATCGAGGAAGACGCGATGATTAAAACAAAATCAAAGTACGTACCTGCTCCACAATGATGACCGATATTCCTGTTTCATGTCTCGCAGTCGACTACGTTTCTCATCAACGTTCTACAAATACGACAATCGCCGCCGACCGATCGACACACATAATATACTATTTACGCGAATGTACACTAGGGCGATTTTTATCTCGACCAACACACATAGAAACACAAGACCGCGTCGTCGGAGAGACTTGAACGCACTCGGTGTCACACGTAGGTGAAATCCGTACACACAATGAATATATGATATAGGATACACGCACGACGCTTCACGTGTGCTCGACGAGTAGGGGTGTTGGTATATGCACTACGACCGCGTCCGCCAAGAGCTAGTGGTGACGGTGGTGTGCGTACAGGTAATAATATACATTATACATACCGCGTAGACGGTACTACAATTGCTAAACCACTCCAGTGCAGGTCTCACGCCACCGCCAATGGTAGAACGGCGGCTCGAGCATTCCGCGTCGTCGTGTTTCGCCTTTCATTTTTATTTTTGTTATTTTCTTTTCAATGCACCACTGGGTCATATCGCTCACCGTAAAACATTATTATTATTATTATCATAATACATGGGCACGTATATTATAAACACATAACGTATGTTTTATGCTATAAAACATTCGAACCGGACGACGGCGTACTCTAGCGTATAACCACAGAACATATCGCATTTTATTATCCATACATAGTATACTAATGTATAATAACGAATTATATATTATATTTCAGAGAAAATTTCAGTCACGGTGTACACCGACTCGGATTCGTTGAACTCAAGGACACGTCGGTATTTTACGCGAACCATTCAGAACGCAGCGACCACGCAGTTATAAGAACTTCTACAATAGTAGTACAAGTATACAATAGGACCCGCGAAAAAATCAACAGAAAAAATAAACGAATTTTATACATAGGTACACCCAGGTACATCTGTACACGAGATGCTTGCAAAATGATTACAATATCAATTATCTATACTATTTGGCGTACAAAACCGATAGTGGAGGTGGTGAAGAATGAATAAAATATTACGTAATTTTATATTTTCATTTTTACAATACACATATAATATAATAATCGTTCGTAACAAGACAAAACGTATGAGTATATCACAGAATCATTGTTTTCCTATCTACACAAAAATAAACACAACAGTCACGCCCGCGAAATCTAGAAAAAAACAACGCGTTTACTTTCGCCAAACACCTACGGACACGTGTATTCTCTCTCGCACGACCAATAAGCGCTTTTAAATCTTCGGTTCTCGCAAAGTACATACATTATACACAATGCTAAAATACGGTGATAACTACAACGTAAAATGCAATATTATAATAAACATAACTCTAAATATAAACCACGAACATAGTACCGGATTTAAGTCGTGTAAAACCAGGGCGCACTATTGATCGGACACTTTTTCGAAAATCAGAACTGACATAAATCTTATTTATTTCTTCAATACATGTTAAAATAAAATAGTAATACGAACTAGTTAAAACTAAATCAATGTCTAAAAACTATTTTATAATTTGTAAAATCATTATTCAGTATGGTATAACGTTTTTAATATACTCGTATTAAATAATCATAATTTATTATTTTATTCCATTAACTGGATCTAGGACTTGCATCTGAGGCTCTGGTGAATTGCACCCCCGTTAAATCTGACACTGTACGTACAAGATAATAATAACAGTATATAACAATACCATAAGATAATGATGTTGGGGCATGAACACAACCGGTAATTACACGCTTTAATCGCTCGCGGAATTCGAGTAAAAAAAACATCATCGGCTCGACTCGATGGAGATGGTCGTGCGCGCCCGTTTGCACGTCGGAAATGCGCGTTTATTGTAAACGATGTCATTAACTGTCGATTTATGTGCAGTGGAAGATATGATTGCTTTGCCACATAAATGTTAATCACTATGAATAGGTTAGTATTGTCTCGGTATAATTTGTGTGCACGTGTAGCTATGGCGACGACGCTAAGGACTACTACTATACGCACCCAAGTTTGTTCGATTACTAATTTGAAAGCATGAAATCCAAAGGGTCATTTCTTTGGCAGCGATATTAATTCTAAATGTAAGACCAGTAATTTTATTTTTTAAAACGTTTTCGCATGTTTCATATTTGAACACAAGAATATAAATATGTATATTATATGTAAATGCACGGTTAAAATGTCACTCGTGCCAGGGGCTACACTATTGTTATAATATAATCGACAATGCTACTTATTGGGAAAAAGAGAAAAACTGAGAAATGCACGATAAATAATAATATTAATACATCTACTTAAGACAAACTGACTTTTTGTACCTTAAAACCGGAAAAACGTAATTTCCAAATACACGGCCCCGATTATTACATACGTCGAAACCAATTACTTAAAAACGTATACTATGCGTAAAACTACTACACGATGTACGTTTCTAAAAAAAAATAAAATAAAAAAATATGTATTAATACAACTAATCGCATAATTCGATTATACGACCGTCGAGTACACGTGACAAATTATAAATGTCCGCACAGACAACAGTAGGTTATACCTATACACATATTGAAATATACACGAAGCCAACTCCGGACAAATTATATTATTATAATCTATTTCTGCTACCAGCTTATAATACGATTTCGAGTATAATAGAGTTTAGTTAAAGACAATAGTTCTTTTGTTAACGACAAACCCACTCGCTATTACACGAACTATTCAATACCAAATAAGGAAACCACGGGTGATTTTTTTCGACGCCATTTGATATACTATTACTAATATATATATATTACTTATCACTTTTACTTTTCTCTAATGCAGCGATTTCCAAACTTTATCAGTAATGGAACCTTTAGGAAGGAGTATTTTTTCACGAAGCAGTGTTTTCTTGTGGAGCCCCAAGAAACATTTATTATAAAGTTTTGTTTGCCTGTGTACTACGAAGCATATTGCACACGACACATATTCATATAGGAGGTAACTCAAAACGAGATAATGTACGTTTAATATAATATTTATACGTAGTATATCTGACCGAAAAATAACTGGAATGGGAATGCGTATTACCTAAAATTAAAAAATTATATTTTCCTATTGGTATTTTATTATTGTTTGTATACGTATCGGTGAATTGTATATGAATTGATCGGGTCTTGTAAAAATATACACGATCGTTCTTTTAAATAACGATCAATAATTGTGACGTTATTACATTTTCTATGATAAAACAAACGAAGCACAGTTTGGGAACTGCTGCTCTAATGCATCGAGAAACTGTTAATGTATAGATACAAAAATTATCATACGGCCGAAGATGTTTTTCCTTCGTAAATACGTCTATGATTATACAGTCTGATACAGCGACATTATGACATCGATTCAATTTTAACGAAATTACAGTTTCAAATGAATTAAGCGAAATGTAATTTACGGGAAAACTTCTTTATAACTCAAAATTCAGTATTGTATGCAGTAATCCCATCTCTTCAAAACATTATTAATGTTGTCACAATTATATTCGTCTTTATATTTGATAAATTTATTTTTGACATTTAGGTTAGAAAATATTATTTACAATAGACTTCAAATATCGAATAATCTGCTGTGTTTCACATTATAAGTTACATAACCACTCACACGATAAATAAATGAAACAGAACGAACGAACGAAATTGTAGAAATTGTTATTATGCAGGTACATTCGAAGGCATTATGAAGTACGATTTATTTGCACGATATTTTTTTCCGAAATGAAAAGCAGAAACACAGTCACGAACTTATAATTCATATATATGTCCATCAAAAGTATAGTTACCGATTTTAACCATTAGAGTTATACATGAATCCGTGATAACTGTCTACACAATCGAATAAAATAAATATATACTTTAATAATATAATATAATATATAGTAGTAAATGTATACTAAATATATACATTTCAAGTGATGCAAAAGATACTTACGAATGTCTCATTGAACCCCATTTACGATTTGGTAGTATTTCGGCGCTGAAACAAAAAAATAACACGCGCAAAAGATTAGACAAATGAAATAGTAAAAACGAGTTCTGCAAGGGTGATCATACATTTGGATGATATAATTACCTGTTTCCGTTAGTCGTTCTTCTCAAACTTGTCCTTAACCATGTGTTTCTTTTTAGGCCTAGCGTGTTAGCGTTAGGATTTTCTACGCCACTAAAACGACAAAAAAAAAGAAAAAAAACGATAACAATAGTCAACAACAAAATCTTCTCACAGACATAATCAAAACTGTAGAAAAAATACTAACTTTGTTAACACGTTATTAGCAGGCGATGAAGTCTCCATGTCTCCTTCGCCATAACATTCATAACTCTCCTCGTCGGACATACTTGAAAATTGGCTGTACAGAACAGAAATTATTTAGAAAAATATAAACTAAAAAAACAAGTGTGTTATATTTATTAAAAACCTGTTATTCGTTGAATTTGAATCCGTGTTTCCACGGTGTACAGCAGTATCTTCTATGTTGAGTTTAAACTGAGGAGAATCATCTTTGTTATTGTTGTTGGTGATATTTTCATCTTCTTGTATTTTGGGCGCCATCATCCTACTGAAAACCTACAAATACAGACAGATGTTGTAAATTATTTATACTAAATACCGTTGTTTCAATAATTATTATATAATAAAATATGAAAGCATATTTAGAACCTATCAAAACAATGATGCGATGACAGCGACGATCGAGCATTATAATGACATTACATTGTCATTGATAAACATCGTCGTAACGCGAGTAATATACAGAGGCAGTAGAAAAAAACATACACAACAAGTGATAAGTAAAAACACTATGAAAAAAAATTGTCTAACATAAATTCCTGAGAATAGCTGTAATAAGCCTCCTTAGTTCGTAAAATAAAATAAACAGCTACACAATAACATGAGTATACTCTACTTGTCAACAGATGAATAATGGAAAAACAATTTACCCCATTAACTAATAAAAAGACTAAAAAAAAAAACCTGTAAAAGTAGACTTCACATAAAAATTAGCAATAAAACTTCCAAAGCCAAACTAAAACCACACCTATCTCAAGATTTAATATAGAAGCTTGAGAAAACCAACAAGAAAACTATAAAAAAGGTTTTCTTTATATTTAAGTTCACTCATACTTTAACTACGATTATATACTTATAAAATATTTAACACTATAATAACGTGTTTATAACAATTGAAAAAAATAAACAAAAATGAATAATATAGTTTTCAAATGCGGTAATCCGTACCATAGCCATGTTTGTAGCAGTCTTCACGTTCAACACGCCTATAACGATGTCTGTTGATGAGAATAATCAAAAAATAAGTATACTTATGTTATGTTTAAAAATATATACGGACGTAAAAATATAAACTGTGATCAACCACGCAGTAAATATTGACACACACTAAACGCACAGTTAAATTTCCACGTTCTTATATAGCCCATAGGTGTGCAGAAGGCTCCATCGAGGGGGTTGAGGGATGTTTTTTTTTAGAAAGGTGATAGGCACGTGTCTCGGCCGACAGATGTATATTCACCCGTCAATAAAGCGGAACACGCCACCGGTGAAAATACCGTATATTATATGTCGCCACAGACGTTTGTCGTTATACCTATATACTGCAGAATTTATAGAAAAAGAGAGGAAACGACTATCCCCGAGTATATCGCTTTTGCAGCTGCGTCGCTCAAGACGTGCGCGTATTTAGATACGGCACGTTCCCCCGGTCGCCGTTTCCGATCAGGAAACGCACGCGTGTTTCAGTGCAGCCTGGGGGATGGTCGCATTTCCGTTTTCTTTGTTTCTTCTCTCAATGTGTACATTGTCAAAGAAATGCAATAACGCGCAAGCAGCTACTACGATCAGTCGCTAATTTTTGTCTTTCGTAAAAAACGTTTCATGATGACAGAAATATAATATTAGAGGCAATGATATCGAACTATTTTTTTAATAAGTGGTACAAACACAAATTTTCAATAGCCACCCACCCATACCTAGACATTAAAACATGATCAAAATATTATCATGCTTATATTAAGTAGAGAATCTACAACTTAATACCAACTGGCTACTAAGTGCTAATTTTTCAAAATTATATTGACCCAGTACTCACTGAAAATGCACCACTTTAAGTACGTATTCGGCGCCACTGATTAGAGGTATAAAGAATATATTTTAGAAGTATATAGTGCAGGATACACTATTAATATAAAACAATAAACAATATTATCTAGAAATAGTGTTCGCACACTAAAATATATGAAAACCAAGTCAATATGACGACAAATCTTTATTTACTGATTAATTTTAAATAAATTTACATCGACCTCAGTACACTGATTTTAATATCTTTATAACCCATTAAATTGCATAAGTGTCATAATGTTTTTAATCAATGGTTGGGAAAATTGTAATTAATTGATGTAAAACTTTTTGTTTATTAAAAAAACTGAAAAAAATAAAAACAAATAAAAATAATCAATAGTAAATTAATTTATTGAAAAATACACATGAAAAAACGATTAATATTTAGGTATACCTCACTAAAAAAAAAATAAAAATACGAAAACAACTGACAAGAATAATATTGTTTATTTAAAGGTAATAAATATAGAGATGATGTCAGCATAACATTTGTTGTAGTCTATTTCACAAGCACTATATAATAAAACTATTCTTTGCACTTCATATTTTATAAAAAAATTTAAAAATCATAATTAAAATAATCTGTAATAATAAAGAACATGAATAACATAATGTTGCGTCATAAAGTCTTAAAACAATCACTATTACGAATAATAAGAATCTGCTAACTTTAAAACCCCCAATCGCAGACATTTTTTATAAATACATTTTTATCATAATTCGATTCCGTAATTAAAAACATTTTAGTCGAGAACTATTTATATACCTATTTAATTTTATTAATTAAATTACCTAAACATTGTGTATTCATACACCAACATATTAGGCACCTATATCTGTAGAAAAATGAATTCTGCACGATTATAAGTTTAATAAATTTACTAATTGTACTTATATATTATTGTAATTATAATTTTAAAGTATGAAAATTCGGGCATTTGTTAACTATTTTGTAAAAATACATGATATATAATCCCTATAATAATACGTCATACATACATATGTATAATTTGTGTGAATAAAAATTATAAAAATTAACTAGTCTATTACTTGTACATTAAAGATCAGTTTACTAATTTAAACAAAATATTAAAATCATGTATATGTTTTTACAATAATTTGAGTAATTAATTATATAGTATTAACATAATCAGAATTCAAACTGAATGTAATTTAATTTGATAAATATTTAACTGAATTAAAATGTATCTTGATTGCACAAATTATATGTTTAACATTTGGCCTGCGATTCATTCCAGGCATGGTTTATTTTATCATCAATCGTTTGTTCAGATTTTTTTGTGTCGTAAATATAATATACATGTATAAATTTAAATAATTATACATGTATAAATATGCACATTTAAACAATTGCACGAACAAGAGAATTATATATTATTTTCCGAATGGTTTTAATAATAACTGACAGAGATATCAAAAACAAACATGTACTCATATGAGTATTATTGTTATTTTGCATAGTGAAAATATTATATGAATATAAAAGCTTATATAAACGACCTTCCACAGCAACACAACACAACTACCAGCGTCTATTCAAAATATTTTTTTCAACGCATCAAACAAGGACAATTTTATTATACTATTGACACTTTCCTGGATCCACTCACCAATGATTGTCTTTTTTATAATTATATTTTTTTTTTTTGCGTTTATGATTATTTTGATTTCTGATACAGAGTATGATACAAGGAGAGTCAGGAGCGTACCCAGGAATTTTTTATGGGGGTCCAACATTTTTATTTTATCTGATAATGGGAAATTAAAATACACTATTTACTATTATTATAATATTTTCTAATAAATCGTTGATCATGTAGAAATTTCAAGAGGGGTGGTCCGGACCCGAAACCTCCCCCCCTTGGTTACACCCTTGAGGAGAATTATCCACATTTTCCCGGATATAACAAGCAAGTGTTCTAGCCATCTGCCTCGAGAATAGATAATGTACGACTGTTTTCATTCACACAAGCAACATGTAATTTATTGCGGTTTTTAGAGAAATATTTTGTTTAAAACGAAATATGTACAATTCAAAGAGCTAAACGTGCTAGAGTAAAACAGTTCTAAAAATAATAGGAGCAGACAGCGGGAACTACCATCACTGCAAACACATTAAAAAAACATACGCGAATATAAGAACGTTTTTCTTGGTGAATTATTTAACTCGTTGTTTTTTAAGTCATTATAACGTAATGAAGGTTAGAAGAGTTACTCGGTATATAACTTGTCGGTTTCAAAGTCTCGTCCTAGTAGCATAATTTTATTATTATACAGATATACGGACTCTCTCTCTCTCTCTCAGGCACACACATACACTATAATGCCACAAATCGCAATAACCCTAGTAAATACACTATACTACAATGCACCACCGTTATTCTAAAAAATACACAATATATGAAGCAATTATCGGTGGTGGTTACCTCACTGATAGACACGGTCTAGCGAATATAAATCATGTGGTTTTATTATAAGTATAATTAAGACACGAAATATCGGTATTTCATTACATATATATATGTATATATATATATATATATATATATATATTATATGTTCTATATGTTTGTTATTGCGAATAAATTGATATACAAGCAATTTTATGAAAAACACACGTTTACGTGGACTAACAGAAACATTTTAATTATTTTCAGTAATATGCGAACATCGCTACCTTGGCCATAGTTATTATTAGGTTTTACTTTGTTTACAATTAAATGAATTTTTTACCGATATATTGTATCGGATACAAAATATATATTATTGTTATATACGTTTAGTAATCATTCCCACGCATTCATTTAAATTTGTTAAAAATTATTTGAAAAATTAATGTAACTTAATAATTCATACATACTTATAGAAATTTTAGAATTTAATTAGTACTGAGAAAAGAAAATCTAAATTTATACATCTAATCTAGTTTATCAATAGTCCAATTTTATTATTAATTGATTTACCATTATGTATAGATATATAGTATACTCACACAATATATTATAAATAAATATCATAAATATACGCTTGAATAATTAGTAAAATGTTTGTAATTATTTAACGTTATTAAATGACATTTATAAAAATTTATCTCACACACTACTTTTATTCGTACTCATCATTTTCATTATTCGTTTGACATTAACCAGATGTTGAAAGTAATTTTTTTTTTAGTGATAGAAAAATACCATATGGTCGAAATATAACAATTATAAAGTTTATACAAGTTACAAAACTAACACAACACAAATTATTCAAACTACCAACGGAAAATACACAAAAATAACATTTGACAATTTAATTTAAACCATAATTAGAAGTTTAATCGACTTTACCAATAATAAGATACTGACAATTAAGAACTACTAAAATTTTTAAAATATTTTTAAAAATCATCTTTAGAAACGAACAGCAAAAATTCGTAGGCGTTGATAAAAATCTTTGATGATACATAACAAGAATAACAATAAGTAATAATACTTGTAACATTATTTGTACAGTACTAAAATTTAAAATATTTTCGTAGGTCGTTGTTGATTTGTTTACTGTTATCCAAAATGAAGAGAAAATATTATTAACGTGTGTAAATACTTACTTCCTCGGTTTGTAAATTGATAAATATATAAACGAACGTGTTTTATTTCGTGCTGTATAGACTAAATATAAAAACGGGTCATAGTAAAAAATTAAAGATGCATATTAAATGTGTACATAGTTTCCTGAATTTCAGGTTCGACACCGTCGAAGGTCGTTAAGATTAACTTGTATTTTATTTTTTATCGTAATTTGTATTCTGTTGTTTAATATTATCACCAAGCCATGTACTGTACAGATTTTGTTTTTTTTTTTGTTATCGTAAATATGCAAAACAAAAAAATAACTAATTGAATATTGTTTGAAATACAGTTTCACGTTTGGGAAATCAAAGAATTTTTTCCCCTAAGACATACTTTTTAATACCAACAAAAACGTAAAAATAAACAGATAATAATTGAGTAACGTATTGTTATTATATTTTTTTAATATCAAGCCGAACAATTTCATGATCCAAGCATTATGAATAATTCACAAATTGTTCTACTTTTATTTTTTTAATTCGAGAATATTATGTGAAAAGAAAACTCAAACATCAAGATAGCACTTAAAATAATGAGGTCGGTATTATCTTAAAGTCATCAAAAATTTTAAAAATGAATACTAAACGGTATTCATCTTTCTGACTTTATTTTATTACGGTAGTATAAACTTGTTTTATTTATATTATAATATTATATATATATATAAAATATTTATATTATAATAATACTCATAAAATCTATAACTGAATACGAAAAATAATATAAATGTATTGAAATAAAACGGAACATTAGACCTGAAAACTTAATTTTCATAATTTATAAGTTATGAGTTACTAACGATTTCATGTGAATTTTGTTCGTTTAGTGTTATACAAATTTGCAGTAAGCAGAAACTTAAAATAACCTGTAATTTGTAACGCATATTAATGTTCAATAAAAATATCATCAATAGACGGAAATAACAATTTATAAGAGTTAAATTCGTCACATTTATAATTAATTAATAATTATTTGGATTAACTAGGTAAGTACTACGTGAGTTTTATCTTTTAAAAACATTTCAATTTTATCTATAAATTGTTTACAGTCCCAACATACTTTTTCTAAATAACTAAATAACTAAAATCTAACTAGATAATCACAAACATTCCACGTAATTCAGAACGTATTTGATTTCTATAATGATTTATTGTAATGCATACAAAATAATACAAAGTTTAAAAAAAAAATACAAAGAACACAAAAGTTAATCTAGAAAACTGAAGTCTCCGACACTGATAATTATATTATACTCGTAGCATATACCTACACAAAAAATACTTAATAGAATTAAGCGAAGTATAATTAGGTAAAGTACATTGACAAGCAAGTACATATTAAAAAATTAATTATACAGGTGATCTACAACCTCACAATTATTTAAAATATTTTTTCAAATGGTTTAGTACATGAACGAAATTTATCCACACTATTATAGCATATTACCTGAATATAAGATAATTTTTGAAAAATCGATTATTTATTATCATTAGCAATGCATATAATGTCTACAAGATTATATTTCACAATCCTACAAAAATTATTCATAGAACAATTTTGTTTAGAAATATTACAAAAACATACAAAAGACTGTCATGTGTAAAATAATATTAAAAAAAAATAAATTTCTATTAATTTCCTTAAATACTAGCTCCCAAAAATAAATTGAAATGGTGATCTGATTTTATATCAAAATAAAATATATGACAATAATTTTCCAATACATTGAACTCTTTACCAAACATTCTAACATTCTAGTAATTGTATTATATCTTTATTAAATTATTTAATATTTACAAATTATTTTGATCAGAAATTCAATAAAACAATCATTCTTATTTAAAAAACCATACTATTATTTAATTTTTATATAGAATAAAGAATATATGATATAGTTTTTTTTGTTATATACATTAAATTTTTGTATTTATATTATTTTAAATACAAAAATTTGATGTTTATAATAACTTAATATAAAATAAAACATTAGGTGTCTACTGCATAGTAAAAATAAAACATTAGTGCGTTAATTAAAAATGTAATGCTGATTGTATCAAATAAACATATTCATAAATTATGAAAATAGATATTTCATAGATGACTAATTGTTAATTGATAAAATAAACAATTAAATATATACTAATTAATCATTGAAAACAATAAGCCATATTATAGGCCAATAAATACTATTTCATCTTATTATTGTAATTCATTTTAAAAATCATTGCGATTATTAATAAAATGAAATTAAAATTAGTAAATGCTCTTAAATTAAAATATAAATAAGTAAACAAATAGTTTATATATACAAATAAATAAATAAATAAATAAATGCTTATATTTATGATTATTATTATTTTTGTAACCGAAACCACCTATACTTAACAAATAATAATACTCCAAGTATTTATTTAATATTTCTGTATATAAACTATTGGTATATTTATTTATACATTGATTATTAATTATTAATCGGTAATATTTTAATACTTATACCATTGTAAATGAACCTAAGCCTACATAATTTCCTTATACTTATTTAATAATACATTAAACAATTAACAACAATCAATATTTTAACCGTCCAAGTACTACAAAAAATTGAAAAACTAAACAATGTTCAAAAATTAAAAAATACAATCAATGGGAAGAGCAATGCTGTGATCAGTTTTCGATATATAGAACAAAAAAAAACATTGATTGAAAGGTGTGTTAATTTATTATATTAATGGTCAACCATAAAAATTAAAATGATACAACAGGAAAGGTTAAAACAAAATAGAGTAAATTACGATTCCTTAATAAAAATGTAAAACCAAATTTAGTAATTGTGTACAAAAGTACTGGTTAGAAGAATAATGATACACTAACAGGGACAATGAAGATATTTTCAAACCAGTAAAAACTGAATTCTGTTCCAAACCTGATTGGATTAAATAACGGTAACTAGATTAATCTGTAGTAGGTATATTAGCATAAGGTCTAAAAATGTCACCAACCTTTAGCAGGTCCCCAGAAACCAGAATGTGTGAGTGTTTATGTGGTGAGACGAGCGCGTTCACCGTCTCATCGACGCGTCGGAGATTTCCATATGTCGTCTGGGACAGGATAGCGTTGAGCGTTGCGGCGGTGTTAACGACATTTGAATAACCGACGAACGGTACGGCCACAACTGGGCAACAGCGACCGGTGGAGACGGTGGGCGGTTTGCGAACGGCTGCAACAGCGTCTGGAACGTGACAAAACGATTGCAGATAAGATTAGGACGTACATGCACGAGCAAGTGCACTTCTGGACCTACTCAAACGAGACAGGGCGACGGTGCAGCGTTAGTGGTGGAGGTCGTAATTGTTGTTATGAACATGGGAAAAACGGTCGCCCCGATACCATCATCACCGCGGTAAAAACGAACGAACCGATACAATCATCGTTTCACGGCGCACGCGAGTGAATTATAAAAGAATATAGAAGTGGAAAAATAATAATGAAAATAACAACGGAAGGAGAGAGAGGTAAAAAAACCGTAAACAATAATATTTATATCGCGTTCGAAAAGACAAGAAAAACAATAATAAACGGACGACGATTGCGCCGTGAACTGAACGTTCGCGTTTGCTGTCGTCTGTAGATGCTACAGCGTCGACAGAAGTGGTCGAGGCGGTGTGGCATTGGCATTTCACCACCTCACCTGTATAATAGTATCACCTCAGCGTTGCCTGGCGGCGCACCTGCGATACCTGTTCACCTGTAATCACGGCCAACAGATAGTGTAGTATCTACGGCGGCCATAGTTCTTATCAAGTCAGGAAAATCCTATCACAATAATCACAGTTGGTGCGCGCTCTGGTTGGTGCACACATCCGATAAAAATTAAAAGTTGCAAATAAAATTTATATTATATCTATAGACGTCATCAGGGACGTATTTAGATATTGATAGGGGGGGGGGGGGAATTTCCTCTAGACAAAATTTTACAATTACTAACAAAAATTAGAATTTTAGTAAACAATTTTAATCTTTATTGTCTTATTATAACTCTTCTTCACAAAATTACTAAAATAAGTTGTCCAGTTATTACTTAGGTATTAATAGACATTAATATCAAATAGATCATTATTTTTAATCTACAGGAACCAAAATGATATGTCAGTCCCTTGAAAATAATCCTCTTTCTGCATCAATGTATTAATGGATTTAACAGATTTTTTTGATAACTTATGGTTATTATATATTTGTAACTGTAAATAAAAAAAATACAAATATTCATCATTGATTAAATCAAAATCTATCAAATTTAATAAATTTAAAACAATTTTTCTTTGGAGAATATTTATAATACAAAGAAATATAATAACAAATTTCTATTCATAAGTTTTACGTTAAATAATATGTATATACATAATTTAATAAATGTTTTCAGAATAACAATATAGGAAACATTTAGTATGACTACAATAAGTTCTACAATATTTGTTTGATAAATAATTGAATTACTGTATACATACTAAGGCAAAAATTTATATTTTAAAGAATTTAACCCAGTAATTACATCATAAATGATGTTGATCGCATTATTGGTCGGATATCTGCCAGTTCCATTCTTGATTGTTCTGGTGTACTCATTTGATTATTAAGATTATTTTGTGTATTAACTGAAGAGGATTGAAGTTCAGTAGAATAAGAATCAACAACTTTAACAAGAGTAATTTTGACAAATTTATACAACATTCCAATTAATGCTGTTTGAAGAATCAATGCACCAAATCCTTTAAACAAACCTAACCGTCCTTCTTTTTCAACAGTAGTTACTAAACAGTCCAATGGTCCTACATAACCAGTTAATATTGGCATAACAGAAATTCCCGTATCTAAATTGTCAATTATGGTACGAGTGCCTTGCAAATAAAGACGATGCATAATTATTTCCAGAGGAAAAAGAACAGCATCACCAACTGCAGAAGCAGTTAAATCAGAAACTGCTTCTAAACGTTCATTATCGGAATATGAAGGAGAATATTCAATTGATTTGGGACACACTTTACGAATTTTATGAATTTCATACATAGTTAACATGTGTTTAACACTTTTACTAACTAATATATTTGTTATACATTTAAAAACTCCATATATAACTGTGGGTACAACTATAATCCATACTGGTAACATGCGTCCTGAAATAAAAATAAAAATCAATAATTTTAACTTAAAAGATCATACAAAAATTATTAATTTTTTTTTGAGTAATTATTGGTAAATACATCACTTATCAATATATAAATATAAAAATATTATAAAAAATGTTTAATAATTTATTATATGAATCCAAGAATAAATTAATTTCAAGAAAATTACTGATATAATAAATTAATTTGAATTTATAACAATGATTAACACAAAAATTGTTATATTTAGAAATATATTTTGAGTAAAGATAGTTAATAATGATATACTAAAACTATTAAATAACTGAAAAATAAACTTCACTGAGAATAAAATAAAATGATTATTATTTCAACAAATGCATTTTAATAATATTGAAGATCTAATTAAATTGACATTTAATTTAGTTAAATTATTTAAGAATGACAGAACAAAGTTTAACAAAAAATAAAAAAGAATAATTTAACTAAATTATCTTCCACACAAAAGATTAATTATAAAAATGAATACCTAATTTATTGATTTTATGATGGATTTTAATTTTTCAATGAAGTATGAAGACTCCATATAAGATCAATATATATTATGAATGATGGAAATTAATTTTAACTTACCTTTTTGTGGACAATTCCATTGAAGAAGTCTAATAAATCCTTCTTTAAATACATCATAAACTGCAGTTTTTTCACTAGCAATATTACTTTGAACAGTTTCAACTAAACATGCGGAATAAAATGGGGTAATTATACTCAAACTGACACTGCAAATAAATATTTCAATGTTATTAATATTTTAACATAATTTATAAGAAGAATTCAAATAAAAAAACAATATTGAAAATATTTGCTTTAATAATTCAAGTAATATACTACATAGGTATAAAATATATTTTAGAATGAAGAGGATACTAATACATCATATGTTTTCAGTGGTACATACATGCTGTATAACAATGTACATGTATATGTTACGGGTAAAGTTCAAAAATGGGTAGTTTACACAATACCCGGGTAAAGTACACCTTATTCATATGGATAGAACAATGTGTATATTATCCAGTGTGCTATAAGTTTAATTCAAAAAAAAATTTTGAAGTACCTAAACTATGTATTATTAAGTTATTATTTTATAATAAAAAATGTTAAAAAATTAAATAAATTTATTGGAACACTTTGAGGCATTTTGAGTTGCAAAATATCCCTCCAGATTTACATTTAATCGTACATTTATTTGTTAAATGATTATTATCACGCAAACATTTTTTAAAACTGACCATCGAAAAAAATCGTGCATTAGCTATTTCACAAAAGATTTTTTTGTAACCGACACTTATAAAATATTTATAAAAGTTTCATTATGATTTATTTGTTTTTATTCACGTTTCTTATTTCAGATAATATGTTATAATATATTGATTCCTTTAAATTTACCGAATTTCCATTATTTTCATTAATTTATTTATTATAATTTTCATATAATTTCTATTTTTATGACGACAAAGTTTTTTTTTAAAAAACTAAATGATCAAACATTAATAAACCGAACAAGTGAACTTGAAAACCAATAGCACTGTATGTAGCTTAAATTTATTATACAATATCAATGCACACGATTTAACATCATGTAGATACAATTTATATTTTATCGTATTTTATTAATATTATCTACAGTTCATATTTGTAGTATTTTATTTTATGAAAACACTATCCACTCAAAGATAGATAATGTAAAAATTACCCGGTTGATGTACCTACAAAATAAATGTTTTACAAATATGTTTACTTTATCCAATGGGCATGGGTAATGTTCACATTACCCGGATGATGTGTACATTACTCGATTTTCTTACTCTACCCATAACATATATATACACACAATTTTAATTCAACATTTCTTCAAATCAAATTTTGAATAATTTAAGATTGAAATTATAAACCCTTTATCAAAATGAAAGATTACAAAATAGAAACATAAAAATACATTTTAATTAATTAACTTTTTTTTTTAGAAATGCATGAAGTATTTTATCAAATTTGAGAGTAAAATTAAAAAAAAAAAAAAAATAATAACATAAAAGCATAAATTTTTAATATTTATGACTATAATACAACAATTATTTAAGGCTATTTTGCATGAAAATGTTCTTACTAAACCACAAATAAGTAACAAAAAAACATGAATGACATAAAAACATCTAAATTTATTTTCATCTGTTTATTTATTTATTTATTGCATTTTGAGACATTTATAATTTTTTTTAAAGGTCATTTATATTAATAAATACTATGATATAGCTTAGATATATTTGCACAAATATAGAGAGAATTTAAGTAATGTTATTTTTATGTACTGACTAATAAGATTTATAAATATATATATACATATTATACATCAATAACACAATTTAATTCACACTAAATTAACATAACCATAATTACCATTTTAAAATAATATGTTTTCCAAAACTTTTTGAATTATTTATAGAATCAGCATCTCTGAAAATCATTATATATATATATATATTAAATAAAAATATTAAATAATTTATCCAAATTTAAACAAATTACTTGGGTAAATCAAAAATTTCAGATAAAATTGCTTCAACAGCCATTGTCACCCCTTTGATAAGTAATACTGTTCCAAATCCTTTCCATAAAACGGAAATTCCTTGACTTTTAACTAGTCTAAATACAACTGGAATTAATGAAAATGGCACAATATGATAACGCACAGAAGCATAATGTAACTGAAAAAAAAATATATATAAATATATATTTAGTGTATAGAAATTTAATAAAAACTTATACATTTTTTTATTAAAAGTGAATAATTAAATTAAAAAAAATAAATAAATTGTTGTACTTAATGTATTACTAATGACATAACCAACAAGAATAATTAAATAAATTGGCAAGCATATTTTAATCAGCATTTAATAAATACATATTGCCCATCAGACAATATGTACCTATATACTATTGAAGAATAAGTATTTATTATCTTTTTTTATTTTATTACTTAGTAGAAAATAAAAAATGTTTGATAAACTCTTAAAAATATTTTTTATACATTCAAGTTTTTAACCACCTATTTATAGTACAGCAAATTAAGAGAAAAAAAAAAACCATGAAACAAATTTTGCTTTAAATCTAATTATATTGTTTTCATATTTTATATTTATTGATAATAAATGCCCTTAAATGGGCTTAGTACAGGAAATACAATACTTAATATGCAAATTATCAATTACATAATAAAAGTAATTATTTACAATAAGAATAAAGATTTTAACTTGAATGGACCATCATTGAAAAACTCAAAATGTTTTAATGAATTACTTGAAGTTTGCATTCTATTAATCGAAGCAAAAAGACAGTAATTTTGGTGGTACATTTTTGTGTAAAATGTTTTAGTTTCACAGATATTAACATTAGGGGCATTTAAATGTATTTGAGACAGTGATTCAGGATAATCAACCTGATAATTAAGTAGTTTCTATAACCAAAGCACATCATAATATTTTCTTATCTTATTAAAGCATATTAATCTTCAATTGAGCCTTAAGCCATCTGGGAGCCATTGCTTCCTTTGATCCTACCTGAGTCCCAGTCATGTCATAAAGTATCACAAACGTTGTTATTAATAAATTAAATATATTGTATAATTTTAAAATAAATATATAATTTATTAAAATATTAAAAACCTGGCACTGTCTTCGGAGTACAATAAATGGATAGCTGACAACGTGTTGCAATATTAAACAAGTGGGTTTAAGACATTTATTCACAGAATCATTAACAGATTTATCTGAAAAGTAAAATTAAATTGATCATTTTACTTAAATAATATTGTATTATACAACAATATGTATATAACAAGATTGTTTTTATAATATACTAAATTTACCTCTTTTTTTAGATATTTCAAGTAATGTGTTACGTTGTTGTTGTCTTATTATGTCAGTACTCAGAACATCATGTTGTGGCTCAAATGGATGTTCTGATATACTTCTTGATGGTCGGTGTCTCTGGTAATCCATATCAAAAGATTCTAAACCAGCCATGATTTACAGTAATTTTCAGAATATACAGATTATATACCACTCAATAGACTAAATTTAATAAGTAATTTAATAGTATAGTGTACTGGTTATACTTTTAACTATACTGTTAGGAAAAATTTTATTTTGAAATAATTTATTTGAAATATAACTATAAGCAAATATTTCCAATTACATTTCAACTTACAAATAGATAACTTTTTTTTGATTTCAGCTGTTTTAAAATTTGAAAATATCCCTAGCACCGAACTTAATATAATATCACATAGATTATAGAATATCCAGATAATTTATAAATTACAATTGACGGCACAGTATTTATCAATTCATTTTTTGGTAACACTTATTTCTTATCAATTTATAATTTTTTAACCATAGACAAACAGTATTATCACAGAATAGATGAAATTATTTCATCTATTCTGTGGTATTATTATAAAGTCTATGGTTTTATACCAGGTGATATGAATGTAAATTCTGATTAAAATTCAAAATATTCATTTTATTGATAAAAATATTCTACTAATTCTCTCTGACTGTTGTCTGAGTCTCGAGTTTTTTTTTTATCTTTGGTTGTAGTTGATTAATTGAAGTTTTTTTTCCTTAAAAAGTGGTAAAATTTAATTTTAATTTCAGAAAAACAAATATTAATTTAAATTCAAACAATATGGTTGATTCCAACGAAGAGGTAAATACAATATTGTTGCAATACTAAAGTAACAGTGAAATATTATTTTCAGATTTGTTATTGTAAATCATAAGTAATTTAATTTATCTCTGCAAATGTATCATCATTAACAATGCTTTTGTAAAAAAATCTGTCTTGTAGCCAGTGGGCAGGGAGGGGGAATCTGGGCCTTAGCCCATAGTGAAATTTCAGGTGAAAATATTTTAGGTTTTTCAAGTACCTTTTTTAATTTTTATACAACATAAATAATCATGATTTAAAGCCAAAAATAAAAATATTATTATCTTATGACTAATATCTAGAAAGTACTTTTATAATGAATAGCAAAAGTGATAATGAATTATGCCAAACTAGTGGTAATACGCTATTTTTAGAAAATTATGTGTTAGTAAAAAAATTAGCCCTTAGTGAAAACAAATAATATATATATATATATATATGCAACTGTTTGTACCTACTGTATTAAGTCAAGTTGTATTATATATGTGCCATCACGTGCTTTTTGTAAAACCCTAGGCAAAAGCAATACATTTCCTACACCTTAATATATCTAACTATTCTAACTTGATAAATTGTGGGCCCCCGAATTTATTTTAAGTGCAAAGCCTTTGAAAATCGCCTAAGTTGCCTGCCTGCTAACGATAGCATTATTCATAACTATGATTACAACTTCAAGTTTCAATATATTAAATATGTATTAATAAGGATTACTTATTGTAGACTCTTTTTGTTGTGGATGAAGTAAGTGATATTATCAAGGACTCAATTGAACATTCAATCGGCAGTCAATTATACCAACAAAATATGGTAAATAAATGGACAAATTCTGTAGTTGAAAACTGTCTAACAAGATTATGTAAATTGGCCAAACCTTTTAAATATATAGGTAAAACAGTATTATCTATTGTATCTGTTACATACTTTAAATTTTACCATGATTTTGCTTTTTTGACAAATTATTAATAATAAACTAAATTTGTACATGTGTTAATTAACAGTGACATGTGCCATTATGCAAAAAAATGGTGCTGGTTTTCATGCAGCCAGTTCATGTTATTGGGATAACTTAACAGATGGTAGCTGTACTGTGAGATGGGAAAATAAAACTATGTATGTTATCGTTTCAGTTTTTGGTCTTGCCATTTAATTATGAAAATAATTTTATACGAAAAACAAATAAAACTAATATTTAAATTGATAAATATTATATTATTAGTTTTTATTTTTAAATACACTTAATATGTTGAATAAGAAAATAATTTTTACATTCATGCTTTAAAACTACTAGATACAAACTTACTACAAACTTGTAAAGTAAAACATTGTATATTTATATTTATTTAATTAATGTGAAAAAATAAGTAAATATTAATAAGTATTGGAAAAATGAATTTATTAATAAAAATTATATTTATAGTCATTGAATGTAATATACTTTTTTTTGGTGTTTATTATAAATATGGTTATTATTTAGATTCTAAAAGAATATTAATTATTTATGTGTATTTTAGCAAAAGTAAAAATGTTAAATGTTTTATACTATAAATTTTCAGGTTATAATTTTTAATTGTTGAGATAAATTCAAGTTCGTCTAACTTTGTACGAGATTATAAGGAGATACTTTGATGTATCAGTTAATTATATATACACAGTATGATCATGGTTTAAGGTAACACTCAGGGCCGGCCCTTGGGTAGGTCAACTGGGACATTTGTCCTAGACCCCGCGCGAATTTTAGGGCCCCACGCTTAGGTCATGAGAGCTAGGTATATATATATATAGTTTAATTGAAAAAAAATATATCATAGAATTAAAGTTTTATGTTTTTGTAGTATTTATTTGTGATGGGCAACGATATCAATAATTCGATAAAATGTCGATATCGTGACACATTTTCGACACCGATATCATTCTAGTTGTACAATATATCGCAATATCAAATTGAAGAAAATGAATACAGTACACCTACCATACAAGAATATTTTTTAGATTTTGTAACGGTCGATTCTACTACCGGTTTAAATTTGTCAGAAGTTCTGATCACACAACTTAAATTATATAAAATAAACATTGAAAATTGCCGAGGTCAGGCTTATGACAACGGATCGAACATGACAGGAAAATATCAAGGAGTTCAATCCCGAATCTTAAATATAAATCCTCGAGCATTTTTTACTCCTTGCGCTGCCCATAATTTAAATTTAGTCCTGTGTGATGCTGCTAAAAATTCAACTATAGCCATTACATTTTTTGGTATAATTCGACGTGTTTATACATTATTTTCGGCATCAACATATCGATGGAGTATTATTAAAAAACATTGTACAATATTCACGGTTAAACAATGGTCAGAAACGAGGTGGGAGAGCCGTATAAATAGCGTAAAAGCTTTACGTTTTCAACTCTCAAGTATTTTAAATGCTTTAGAAGAAGTTTCTGAGACAGTTAATGATTTGATGGCCCAAAGTGAGGCTGTTTCACTATCAAATGAAATCGGTAATTATGAATTTATATTGAGTCTTGTGATTTGGTATGATATTTTAACAGAAGTAAATATTGTGAGTAAAAGTTTACAAGATCATAATACGGATATAAATACTTCGGTAAAAATGGTTCAAAGTCTTATACAGTTTTTGCATCAATATAGAGAAAATGGGTTTAATTTTGCGAAAATTGCTGCTAAAAAATTAGCCGAAGATGCCGATATTGCAGTTGCTTTCAAAAATCCAAGAGTAAGAAAAAAGACGAAATTATTCGATTATGAAAATGTCGACGAACCTGTGTTAAATAATGAAGATCGGTTTCGTACAAATTATTTTTTCATCGTTCTTGACCATGCAATACAGTCGATTGAGAAAGGCTTTAATCAGTTGAAGACTTATTTGGACAATTTTGGATTTTACATCGCATTGGCAAGTTGAAAACAATGGAAAATGATGATATATTAAAACACTGTAAAGATTTACAAATAATTTTAACAGATAATAATTTAAAAGATATAGATGGATTAGATTTATTTTCCGAACTAATTATATTTCGATCTTTAGTTGACGAAGATACAAATACGCTCCAGGCACTTAATATTTTAAAAACAACTCACGGATCATTTCCTAATCTAACCATTGCTCTTAGAATAATGCTAACTATTTCTGTGACATCAGCTTGTGCAGAAAGAAGTTTTTCAAAGCTAAAATTAACAAAGACTTATTTGCGCAATCGGTTAGGCCAAGACAAACTTTCTGAACTAGCTTTAATATCAATTGAAGAAGAAATATTGTCCACCATCGACTATAAACATCTCATCGACATCTTCGCTTCGAAAAAGTCTAGAAAGAAAATGTTTAGGTAAGTTTTAATATGATAATTTCTATTTTACTTTATTTTAATTGTTAATGATATTATGATAAAAAGAATTAATCATGTATATTATATATTTACTTTCCACGATAAAACAGTGTAAAGAATATTTGATTTTAATTATTATTTATTATATTCCAATAGAATAAAATACCTAATAATAATTTTTTTGTTTTTTATTATTTTTTTTTTTTTTGTTTGTATATGGAGATCGCTGGGTCTCACTGAGAAGTCTCGTATGAAGACAAAAAAAAAAAATAAAAAATATATGAACTAGACTGAAATGCATACTAAATATATCTGGGTAGAAAGAAATATAATAATAATATATATAATGAAAACATGGAAAAAATATATCAAATATATGTACATATTTAAAAAAAAAAAAAAAAACATTGAAAATTATTTTGTCCGGGGCCCCGCAAAAACTAGGGCCGGCCCTGGTAACACTAAATATCTCAGGTGGATGACCTTGTATTGAAGCGAATATTTTAGAGTGCTTAAGGGGTACTTAAATACATATTTATTTATGATTTTCAAATTTTCAACACTTAGTGTGCGCAGGCTCAACACAACTTAAATTTTTTTTAATGAAACACTACTTTTTTTTTACGTATTCAGATAGATTATTATTTTTAAAACGTTTTTTGTATAAAAAGTTTTTTTTTATTTACAAAATTGACCAAGTTAGAATAAGTCAAAATTTGAATTTATGCTTAAATCGTGTTTAATGAAATTTTTGTTTATAACCATTGGAAATAATAAAATAAGTGCTAAATAAATGTTTAATTTACTTGAACCGTTTAAAAATAATAATTTAATGATACTGTAGGTCACTAGAATGAATATCTCGAGTATGGGATAGTTTTTGTTTAGGAAACTGATGTAATGCGATTACAATTTTAACTATTTTTATAGTGGAATTTAATTTTATTTTATAATAGCTTTAATAACGATAAGATAATCAGATAATGTTATATTATTAAGATATTTAGTTTGATGAAAAATATTATTTCACTTTTATTATTCGACTAGACCCATACCCGTACCATAGTCTGAACGTTATCCGTGTACGTATTTTTGGTTATTAAGTGCTCCTATAAATTATAATTGTTTTAAATATGAATAACGCTGAAAAAATTGAGTTGGTTTTAATTTATGGCGAATGTCAACGTAATGTACGCCTAGCTACTATGACATATGCCGAACGTTACCCAGAAAGATACCATCCACCTTATAATTGCGTTTTACGTCTTCTAAAAGGGTTAAGTCAGAATGGAAGATTTCCCCGCAGACAAATCAACCAATAAAGACGCAGAGCAGATATGTTTGATGACGATACAGAGTTACAGGTACTAGCATACATAAGAGCTAATCCACATTCGTCAATTAGGCATGTTGCTCGCGAAATTGGCGTTTCATATGGTTATGTTCAAAAAATTCTAAAAAAACACAAAATACACCCATATAAAATCAATTTCGTCCAACATTTGCATGCAGGAGATTCAATTCGTAGGTTAGAGTATATAGCTTGGTTCAATGTTAAATTTTTTGATGACCCTTTAATAGTCAATCATATTCTTTGGAGTGATGAATCGAAATTTACAAACAATGGCATTATGAATAAACAAAATCATCGATACTGGGATGACACAAACCCAGTGTGGTTACGTGAGACTAATTTCCAAACGGTCTGGAAAATAAATGTATGGTGTGGGTTAGTTGGTGGGAAGCTAATAGGACCGTCCTTTTATGATGGAACGCTTATTGATAGACGATACCTTAATTTTTTAACCAACGAACTACCAAGACTTTTGGATGATGTTTCATTAGACACACGAGAATGAATGTTTTTCGAGCATAACCAGCTCATAATGCAATTACTGTCAGAAGATATTTAAATCAAATATTTCTGAACCGCTAGATTGGTACCTATGGTGTCGTTCCTTGGCCTGCACGATCTCCTGATTTAACGCCACTGGATTTTTTTTTATGGGGATATTTGAAGACTGTGGTTTATGCAGATCCACCTGTCAATCTTTAGGACTTAAAAAACAAAATATAGGCGGCATGTGATATTTTAAGTGAGAACCAAATCAAGGCGGCAACTTCAACTGAATTTTTGAGGCGACTTGAATCATGTTTAGAGCATAATAGCGAAAACTTTGAACAATTCATAAGATCGATTTATTTAATCTATTTTATTTTGTATTATAATATTAATATTACTATTATCATTATAACTATTTTGTTATGAATTTAATTAATACAGTAGATTAAATTAAAAATAATATCGTAGACTAAAATTATTATTAATTATTTCACACTTATTTTATTATTTCCAGTGATTATAAATGAAAATTTTATTAAACACGATTTAAGCATAAATTCAAATTTTGACTTATTCTAACTTGGTCAATTTTGTAAATAAAAAAAACTTTTTATACAAAAAACGTTTTAAAAAAAATAATCTATCCGAATATGTAAAAAAAAAAGTAGTGTTCCATTAAAAAAAATTTAAGTTATGTTGCGCATGCGCACACTAAAAGTGTGGAAAATTTGAAAATCATATATAATATATATGTATTTAAGTACCCCCTAAACACTAAAATATTCGCTTCAATACAAGGTCATCCACCTGAAATATTTAGTGTTACCTTAAACCACAGTGATCACACTATGTGTATATATATATAATACTTCATTATATAATGACACTACTCTCCTCAAAAAAGAAACACAAGCGTTCTGTACTATCAGTGGAATACATTCTAGTTGGAAATGGCAACCAGTGTATATTTTTCCCGCCTAAATAATAAAAAATAAAAACATAATAATGTGTACTGCTTAAGATTTACTAAGATTGATCAAAGTTAAATTATTCAATGTATCAATTATTTTAGATTAAAATAGTAATCCTAAAATATTTCAAATAACTGAAATTGTATTGGCTTTGTAAAAGTTATAAATCAATCAAGTACTGGTTTAAAAGTCAATTATTTATTGTATTACAAAAAAATAACTTAAATTTGTTAAAATGTTGTGGTCAAGGACACTTGGTTTTTTAATTTTTTCTGGGTGGGGGGGGGGGGGGACAAGGAACAGAAAAAAAACTTTCTTTGGACTTATGTAAAGCATGAATACATTTTTTTGGATATTATTAAACATTGGTAATTACTTTTATCTGAATCATCAGATGTTTAATTACATTAAAAAGATTATGTACAATATAGTCATCAAGGTTTGATTCTTTATTAGCTGTTCAACACTGTTATATTTTTATCACAAATAATTATTAAAAACAAATTTTGTGGGGAGCTGATGCCCATACACTAAGAACCTCTACATTAGCTTTAACGAACTCAGTAGTGGAATACTATGCCCCAATATAGGCCAATAGTGCCCATGTGAATAAAATCGAAGTCCAACCAAACTCAGCCATGAGAACCATTACAGGAGCGATCAAATCAACGCTCATTCAATGGTTCCCTATACTAAGTAACACTGCCCCACCGAATCTTCACTGGATGAACTCATTGCTTCGAAAATGGATTAAATACTCTAGGAATACCGCACTTCCTATCCACAGTGACTGCACTAATGGTGGCCATTGAAAATATTAAAATCTAGGAAACCGAATTGGAAGCTGGCAGGGAAACTTATCATGGAAAAATTCGACCTTATGTAAAGATGGACTATAGATTAGAGGTCTAACAATATCGACACGAATCATCTCTTCGACCAACTTATGATGCAATCCTCTGGATTTAAACTCCCCAGGAGACAATGGATAGTCATAAACCGACTTGGAACTGGACGTGGACACACTGGATTCAGGTTTCATCAATGGGGATTAAGGCCCACACCACAATGTGACTGGGGTCACAAAACCTAATCCGCAAGACACATAGTGGAGGAATGCCCAATCAGAGCATTCCCAGGGGGGTTAGCAGAGCTGAACAAAGTTACCAGGGATGGTACTTGAAAAATTAGATATAAATATATAACAACCCTAGTCCTATATGTTACCCACCTAGTTATTTTAGTGTTTATGTAACTGTATTGTATTATTATTATTGTCTAAATGTTTATTCCTACTTTTTATTTTATTGTTTATTATTCTAATTTTATCATTTATAATTTTCATGTTCATAGATTATCTTATTGTAAATGTGTGTTAAATAGCGTCATTAGATTTCAGTTTATATTAATTTCTATAGGTAAAATTCTGAAAACTGCAAATGTGACATCAAAAGTTCTTCAATGCCCTAAACAAGAACTAAGCACAGCAGTTTTTTTTTTTCTTGATTCTGTGTTCATAAATCTTCAAGAACATGGTGGTTCTTTTTAAATAGTAATAGAAATTACAAAAATATATGGTTTACTGTAAAAATTTAAAAAAAAAAAGAAACCAAAGAGTAAAACAATTTTAAGATGAAATCATCCAAGATTATTACTTCAATAGAAAGTATTTTAAAATCAATATATTTTATTTAACATTGGATAATGCAATAATACAATTAAAAGAAAGTTGATTTATTTTACTGACGAAAAAATTTTAACTCTTTTAATAAATTAATAGAATATTGTAATTTAGGTAATGTTATTGCTGGTTAAATGTTATTGTTCAGTTCTTATTTAAAGAAGGAACTATAAAACAAATATCAGTAAAAACAATTACTGAATTAATTGTTAAAGAAAACCATATACATTAGAATTTTCTGAAATATGGGCAGTGTTTACGCTATTCTTGACACTCCTATAAAATTGCTACAGCAGAACATTAATTTGCCAAATTAAAATTAATAAATTATTTACGAAATAGTGTGAGAAAAAGATTAAGTGCATTTCTTATTCTATTAAATACAATCCAGTACATCAGTTAGGTTAAATTTAAAAAATACTTATAACAATAGTATAGAAAAAAAAGAGCACACAAACAAAATTACATTTAAATATGTTATTTATATTCCATCATATTTTGTATATGATTTCAATTTCAAAAAAATATATAGTAGCTACTGATTTGCTCAAGATTTTAATATTTTAGAATAAAAATTCTTTAAATTTGAAATTATTTTCCTATATTTATACTATTTAAAATAGATTTTATTTTTGCTCACAGGCCCATCTTTGATATGAACTACCACTGTTTAGGTAGTATGAAATATTCAATATATTATCTACATAAATATAAATATATTTACAAACATATTTTGGTATAATAATTATAATTCAATTGATTACACTTCTATTGATTATGTGGCTTATCTTCATCAGTCATTAAACCTGGAACTCTATATAAAAACTCTCCTCTATCATCATAAAAACAATCTTTCACTTTATATGTATATCCTTCTTTCCACACTTTTTTGGGTATTCGAATAGCAAGTGGATAATTATTTATTGTATCAATAAATTTTGAAACATCTTTTCGAGAAATTATACTTGTATGCTCTTGTAAACTAGCTTCAACTGTAGCAACATCAATGTTTTTTTCATTAGTAGGTTGTGGGGTATACCAGGAGAAAGATCTTTCTTGTGAATTTTTTTTTAACTGATCTAAAGTGAAATGCTTATTTTTTGTACTAGTTCTAATGTCATTTTCATAAATTTTTTCATAGTTTTCTTCAGCTTCAATTTGCATTTGTTCATTTTGATTGCTAGGTTCACCACGATAACTTGTAATTATCTGACCAAACTCTTCAGGCTTTAAATATTCTGTAGCTGGCTTAGGAATATAAGCTTCTGCTTCTGTAAAATAAATTTTAAATTATTTATCAATAAATAACTAATATTATCAACATAAAATTAATAAAAATACGTATTTGCAATATAATTTATTCTAATTTATTTCACTACATTAATAATACTTAAATTAATTTATTATAAAAAGCTTTCAGGTGAGGTACAAGTACTAAATATTAAATATAGTATTTTTGTAAATTCTAAATGATTATAAATTAAAAATTTGAGAACAGAGGTCTAAATAATATATGATATAAATATTGAATATGTTTAATAATTAATATTCAAATAAATAATATATTTAATATTTTTACACTTCAAAAACCAATCAATTAATAGTTCCGATAATATTTAATTTTTTATACTAGACATATTACTGTACAATGTTCTTGGTGTAAATTTACAACTAAAAATAAAATAAAATCATTATAAAACTCGCATGTTTTCTAATTAATTAATACTAACGTTTTAGGGTAATAAGTGTGGGTCGTCGATCTGAAAATTTTTTCAAATGGTTTTTAAGTTCTATAGGTAACTCAATATCTCCATTACGAAAACGTTCCCAATTATCTTGTACATGTTTATCATGTCGTAATATTTGTTGTCCCTCATTTGCTATCCACTTAGATTTTAATATTTTCTATAAATTAATATAAAAATTATATTTTAAATTTTAATTTTTTTAAATATGTATAAATAAATCTTAAAAATGTTAGATATAATATTGTACTTATCATTATAATAATTACTTACAACAATAATTTCTGGTGATGCTGGGAAGCATGTTGATAATGTTTCAGGAGTCCACTCTTGTGGAGATTTTTCATGTAAAGTTTTGATTTGTTGTTTTTCAAAATATGTTAAAAAATTAGGGGTACAAGTATTGTTTTTAAAATACTTCCGTTTTATGTTTTGAAAAGATTTAAATTCTCTTTGTTTGCTTATTTCTCTAAAATAAAATAAAAACATAATTATTGAAATTGTTAAGGATGGGTAAAATTGGTAGTTATATATACCTAAATTAAAAATGTAATATTTTAAAGGTGTTGAATTAAGTTTTACTAATATTTTTATATTAAATCTTGAAAATCAATATTAAACTTTTATCATTGGAATTGCCATTTTATGAAAAATACAAATTTGATTTACTTTTTATGTTGATCATAAAGCAAATGGGAATCCAGCAAATCTTCTTCTCCGTCTTCAATGTCTTCCATTGTAACATTAGTCTTGTCGAGTGATTCGCCGTCTAAGACCATCTTTAATAACCGATTGCTACCAGGATTGCCTTTAACATCGTCCTTTTTCAAATTTTTTACAGAATTTATCTTCACATTTCGGAATGATCTGGACAGAAATGGTTGGCGAAAAGTGTTTGCCAACAATAATATTTTTTTGGAAAACATAATTGGTCTTCAGTCCGTCTCGCCTTGCTATACAATAATATTAGTTTCAGTTGGAACAGTTCATTATCTAGTATATCCACCGTGTTTACAACTTCTTAATTACCAATTTATAAGTTTTATCAAGCGCATATAATTATACTCAATAGTCAAATTCAGTTTTATGTTCTGTAAGATGTGTGACCAAACGGACCAATTTAGATGATAAGATGACAATATAGGTAGTAGATTTTATACACTGTTGATCTATCGGGTATTTTGCTAAAGCTGGAGGTTTCAATTATCGGTGCACACACGTTGTTTTGAAATAGTTGATAAAAAATGTTTTGCTCCGACCGAAACTTTTGCGCGAGCCACATTGCATGGATCATGGCCACACTGGTGCCTTTCCCGCTTTTTCTTGGAGTTATACCAATAATATTGTGTAAATATTATACATTGTTATCACGTGAACCGTTTTTCTCGTTTTATGGTACCTACCCATGTTTATTAAAATTTGTTATAATTATTAGTTCTTATAAATCACATAATTTATTAATACATTTTTCAGTCGGTATCAAGCAATACCGTCCATTATGAACTTGAAGACCTAGAACTCTATTTTCACTTGCCGCCTGTTGATATCAATCACTATGGAACCATTATTGCCATCTGAAGTAGCTCGTCTAGTATTTGGTGAGTTTTAAGCCAATTTTTCATCCTCATGCCTATAAAGTTAGTGCATTCTATGAATACTCTTAAAGCTTATCTAATTAATGCAAAAAAGTATTGTATTCCATGGTTTCATTTCTTGTGCAAGTAGTATTACTCAGGCACGTAGCCAGAAAATGTCTATTTGGGGGGGCAAATCATTTTGGGCTCTTGTATCAATTTCCATAATTAGTTTTCTATGAGAAACTTGTAGAGCCTATAGAGGGTACTATTTGATACTTGTTCCCATTTAATATTATGTCTACTATAAATAGAATAAATATTTAACTTAAAGATAAAATTGTCCACAAAAATAAGATTTAATATAATAATTATATATCTATATATATGTTATATAATAATTAAAATCATAATAAATTGTAGTATCGAAAAGTTATCACAATATATTTATTTAATATACATTAAGTCTAAGCATAGCATCTCTTTTACTTACTACTTGATAAAAAAAATTTGTATATGCATTTGTGAAGGTAGGCTTACTCTTGGCCAAAATAAATTTAAGGGTGATTCAAACCACTCTGACCTCTCCCTGGTTATGTGCTTAAGTTAATTCCTTTATATTAAATAATGTAATATTTGAAAATGCACCAATTTTTTTTAATAACTTAAACTATTTATCAATTTTTACTTGGTAAATGTGTTATACTTACATAACCTAGTTTTTAAAATCTCTTATTGTTTTAAAATTCATGAGATGTTATAGTTAAATATTCTGATGGTTGAATTGAGTAACAAAATAAATAAAACAAATCATATAAAATGGTTAGGTTATTGATTATTTATGAACCATATAAATGTAAAGAATGATTCCATTGAGTGTTTGATTAACGTTATAAATTAATTTAACAGAAAAAAATATATAATTATTATTAAAATATAAATTTATTGAAGTATTATGTTTAATATATAGTTAAGTAGTTTATATATATATATATATAGGTATTACAATTATTACTGGAAAAAAGTTTAATAAATATTGAAAAATAATGTATTCTTACAGGTTATCTGAAAAAAGAAAAAAATGAAGATGCTGCAGAATGTTTTTTAAAATCCTCTCCTCATTTGACTGAATGTTATAAAATGTTTAAATCTAACAAAAACTTTAATCTAAAAGTTAATGGATTTAATTTGAATGACATATTTGACATTTTTGGAACTATGTGTAGCATGAGTAAGTTTATAATATTATATTTATTTCTAGTACTAGCAAGCATAATGTCATTTAAATATATAGAATATTTAATGTAGACATCTTATCTGTAAAAATCTAATTTGCAATTTAAATTATAATTAACATATAAAGTAGATTGAACCCTAAAAAAAATTTAAAAAAATATTCATTTAATTCAATATAATTCATGAAAATTGTTTGATTTTTCAATTATAATAATATTTAGTAAATAATCATGATTTAATTTTCAATAAATTATTGATATTGTATTTGAAGTAATGGCACGCAGTAGATTTTTTCACAATACTGTCGAAAATATGTATCTCGAAGTACCCACCAAGCCCACCTGTCAAATCTGAGTTTAAGCATAGTATAACTTCTATTTTTAAACATAATTGGTTTTTTTCTTATAAAACATATAATATTAAATAAATATTCATCAAAATAACATCCAAATTCACCCAAAACTACTCTGTCGACACCTTTGACCCTCCCAGTGTGCACGACTGATTTGAAGTAAGAATGAAATATCATTGAAGATTATCTGAGTATTTTAGTTCTAAACATGTTTAAACTTGTTTAATTGAAACACACATATTTTATATTTATGTAACAAATTTTTGTTTATTTTAGTTAATGAACGAATATCTGAAGCATGTGAATCTAAAACATTAATTGAACAATTACAATATTTATTAGATGCTAATCATAAACCAACAAAAGAAGATAAATGTGTTGAAACAGAATTAAATGTTGTTGACAAATGTATTAGTTGTATAATCACTACTGAAAATAAGAGTACTCTAACAAATGAAGAAACTAATAATAGTATTACCAAAGTATTAGAAAATCCATCTTTTACAGAAATAATTTCTAGTGATATGTCTAAAACTAATAAAAACACAATTAATAATGAAATAATTAATATAAACATTAAAGATAGTAAAAAAATCGAAGAAAATATTGTGTAAGTAAAATAATTATATTACATTTTAAATATTAAAAATTGTTTATAATTTTTTTTTTTTTTTTTACCAATGTAAATATTTTTAAGTTTCTTAATTTATAATTTACGCTTAAAAATTAAAAAGTTAAGATCAATTTTTTATATTTATTTCATCCTATTACCATGTAGTGATTGGTAGCTACTTTAAGTACTGATTGATGCTATTTCACAACTTTTTTTAATGATAAATTTTGATATCTGCTTGAACTTACAAAAATCTCTTATTTCTCTAAACATGTATAATTTTTACTTATAACATGTACTGCGGTTTTTATGATAATGATAGTTAATTAGTAATTCTTATAATATATTTTATATATTTAACTATAAACATGAATTTATTTACCTAAATTGTATGATATTTTAGGATACTTTTCCCTTTTAAAATTATTTCAATTGCTGGTTTAAAACTATAATTATCATAATTATAACAAAAATAATTTATGAAATATATAGCACATTTTATCAAATCAATTTTAAATTGAATAAAATGGAAATGTATTAGTATTACCATGTTTTTTTTTTTTTTTTGTCTGTATACATAATTTCGACTAGGAATGCTTCAATATCACCGAATAAAATCTATAAGATAGCGAATGGGTTCTACTTGTTACTTTTACAAGGATACTTTATAAATTTCCTTGCAGTTTTCTTAATAGTTAAAAAAAACTGATGACAAATCATAAAGAAAAAAAATACAATTTATGATACATTGGTTTTCCACAAAGTTAAATTTTTGTGGTTTTTTTGTAGAGAAAAATAATTGTAGAAACATGAAATTTTTAAATTTAGAATCTTATATTCCCGTTTACTAGGTATTATAATTTTTCATAAGATTTTATTTTTGAGCTATTCACAGAAAATTTTAATTTTCTTAGTTTTTTTTTTTCAAAAATATTAATGAAATAATTTTGTTTTTACAATAAGTCTAGAAAATGTAATATAATGTCCCTCATACATATTTATTACTGATAAAAGAAAAAAATTGAGCTTAATATCAAAATAAAATAAAAAGTTATAAACATTTAATTATTACATTTTGACAATACAATAAAATCATGAAAATCTGTTATATTGTTATAGTCAAAAATTCATACGTTTTTCAAATGAAGTCTTTAGATTTGAAAATTGAATAGAAGATTTCTCATATGATTTTTTTATACAGCAAATATATAGAATAATATATATTCGAAAAAATGATTTATAAGTATTACAAAATTAAATTTTGATATATTTGGATATTTCTACAAATTTCCCTTAAACAATATTAGGATAATTTAAAAAATTTAAATGGACTTGATGCTATTTATAAGCACTTGAAAATTTTGATTTTCTCAAATTTTAAATTGTATGTATTTATTTATTTTTTGGATAAAATATTAACACTTATTTCAAAAAATTTGTTATAGTAATCAGCCTGAATACCAACAAATACCAGAAGCAACATCACTAGAATCAATGCCTGGTTTATCAAAAGGAGATACAAAAGAAATCAAAGATAATTCTGTAGTTATTGATACTGGTGAATTAGTAGATACATTTTTAAATGACCAGAGCTTATTAGAAAAAATTGCAGACAATATAAATAAATCTATTGAGACTCAAAGAGAAGCTGACGATAATATACAAAATTGTAATACATTGGATCCTCCCACACTTGAAAAAGCATTAGATTCTACTCAGTCTGATCCACAAATTAAAAATATACTGGATGAATTTTTAGGTTAGTTAATTTGAATACAATTTATAAATTTATAAAATAAAAAAATTAAAAAATATTTTAATTCAATAATTTTTGAAATTAAATATTACACTATAAATATAAGTTGTAGATTTTGCCGAGGCTTTTATTCAATCCTTATTAAATTAAAAATTAAGATTAAAATAAAAATAACTAACTTACTGTTTAAACTCTAAATATATCTTAGTGAATATTTTGAAATTTTTATAAGCTCAATTTAGTCTTTTAGGTTTATTATTTCTTTTTACAGAATACTATGTTATATAAATAATAAATGTATATTCACTTTTTTTTAATAGTAGTTACATTTTTTATATTGCAATTTATTCAACTATTTAATTTAAATATATAGCTTATTTTTCTAATGTTCCTACGACATTTTTAAAACCTTGACTAAAAAAAAAGTACTCAAATACATAAAATAATTGATTAAATTATTGTTAATATCTTAGTTTAATCAAAATTATAGATAAATTAGTTAAAATTTATGTTTTATATTTATCATTTTTGTTACATTTAAAGGGAAGTTTATACTAAGTATAGTTCAATCTGATTTTTTTATTTACAAGTTCTTACTGCATGGTATTTTTAATACTGTGTTGTTTGTTTTTATAAAAACAGTAAAAAATTATAGATATTAATATATTTTAAAAAAGAAAAATTAATGCTAGAGTATATATTATTTACTAATAATAAAGTTGTATATTTTTTTTTCTAAATTTTAGTTTTTAATGTTGACAATTCTGATGATGGTAAAAAAAAATGTAACCAACAAAATCAACAAAGTACTATAAAATCTCGTTTACGTAGTGCCAAGAAAAAAGGTCTGTGGAAATAGTGAAAAAAAATAAAGTATTCTGATTTTGAATAAAATATTTTAATTACTTGTTTTTCTATTTTAGATGATGCCCCAAACAAATCAAAAAAAAGTAATTCTTATACCCCAAAACACAATACTAATGATAATAATGATTGTAAGAAAAGTGATGATAGTAATATTGTATTGGTACATGAAGGTAATATTAAAACATTATTTGAATCTTGTGATTTATTATCCAATCAAATTCTACTACAATCAAACAACTCTAATGTTGGGCAATCGTTTAATTTTGAGACTAAAGAGATGGAATCAGGTATATTTTTATTAATTTAACTTAAATAAAAGTTTTGTATTAAATCTAAACATAGAATTCTAGAACAACTAAACTTTTATAATATAATAATAAATAATAGTAACTAATTCTTCAATCAATACCAAACAGGCTTTAAGGTGACTAGGTATAAAAATCCTGAAACAAATCATCTGACTTGACTAAGTTTTTAAAGATTATTAATAATATTTAGAATATTCATTATCAGATTTGGTTTTACAGAACAGAAAAATCTCAGATTTACTATGTGTAAAAAAAAATCATAGTTTATTTATAAATTTTTTTGTTTATTTATTTGTTATATATTTTATTATGTTTAAACTAGATTGTATAAAGGGCTTTTTATAATATTCATAATAGTTATTTTAAAATTTATAATCGTTGAAATCTAACCATATAAGAAATTTATTTCATACATTTATGAACAACATTTAAGCTTGATTAGCCCTTTTTTTTATATTTAACTAGTATATCCAATGCGAAAATTCGCAATAGATAATTTATTCACATAATAAAAAGTAATGTAATATGCTAATTACTACTTAATACTTTATAAGTGAAGAAAAATATTGAAAAAATAAATGTAAAATTGATTGTGCACGCATAACTTTTCTCAAACTCAACCAATTTAAGCAATTAATAGCTCAAAAGAAAGAGCTTGGTCCACTGAGTGTTCTGAGTGAAATGATCAAGATCCATTTATTAGAAGAGGAGCTATGAGAATTTGAATTGCTTGAGTGAATGTGTTCCATAAAAAAAGTACAAGGAAGAATCACGTTTGAGTATAACTTGAGTTAGGTGGGAGTTGAGTAAATTTCAATGACATATTTGTGTCTAAATACCTTTCATTAAAAAAAAAAATTTAGGAAATCGGCTGGATAGAACGATCAGACTGACTTCAGTTTTCATACATTTTTTTTAATACATATGATTGTGTAGTAAATTGAATTATTACAAATTTTATTAACTACTAAACATATGTGAAATGTCGATTTCTTAATTACAATTTTAAGTGATAGATTCAATAAAAATTATATATGCTTAAAATTACAATTGGTTGGTACCATTTACTAAATATGTTTAAGCCTTAAGTATTAAAAGGTTTTTAATGATTAAAATATAATAACTTTTTCATTATATATTTTTATTGGATAAAATAACTAACTGAAGTTGATAATACTATTTTATTTTATGTATGTAGAAGAAGACTATAATGGCAGAGCTAACTATGTGAAAATAGCTCCAAAAATGACTCCAATGTTGAAGGCACACCAAGGTAATTATTTATTTAACATATATGTAAATTATATCAATTTATATATAATATTGTTTGAATATGTTCATTGGTTCGATTATAATTTTAGTTGTACACTTGTTTATTGAATAAATATATACCAATCAATATTATACATAATATTTAATAATTTATTTTCAGTTTCTGAAAAACATATTTTTCCTAGAAGAACAAGACGGTCATTAGAACAATTTGGTATCAGGAGCAAATTCAAGAGAACCAATATAACATCTATGCAACCAACTGGAATACTTCAGTCTCCTCAATCAATTGTTATTGAAGTTCCTAGTCAAAGTTCAATTGAAAATCAAACAAAAAGTAATTTAGATGTCAATATTATCAAATTACCAGATATGAATAAAAAATCATCTCATGTAAAAGATATAATTACTCATGATACACCAGATGATAGACAAATACCTCCCAAAAATAAAAGTTTGAGTACACCTCGAAGAAGAAGCACTCATATCAGATGTTTAGATTTCAGTACACCACAGCCTAAAAATATAGATCGAGATAATGCTCGTTCAAAACTTTTTTGTGATAGTCCAAAAATATGTGAAAAAATTGTAGAAGAATCTATTTCTAGTCCATTGCCAAAACTTCAAGCTGATTGGGGTTCAGTCAATGGATTTGAATCTATTGTTAAAAAAGAAAAAACTAAACATTGGGATACTGATATTAGAGAGATGGTGGGAGCTGGAGTTTTAACATCAGATTCTGATGGAAGAAAAACAAAAAAAAAGAAAACACCTAGAAAAAAAATTAAGCCAGTCAATGATAAAAATAATTCTGAAATTATGATCGAAAAACAAAATAAAACAAATAATAGTTCAGGTCAATCAAATGAATCAAATAATATTGAAACATTTAAATCAAATACGCCCGAAAATCAATTAAATTTAGACGAGGAAAACTGTAATAAGCCACTATTGAATGAACAAAAATCATTAAAGAAGCCAAATGAAATTCCTATTTTGTTAAAATCCTCCGATAAAATAGTTACCGAGTTATTTAATGAACAACCATCAAATAAGTCTGATTCTTTGACTAATATTGATCAAGTAAAATCACTAAAAACCCAAAGCAAATTTCCTCATTCTTTGGAAACTCCAAATGAAATAGTTTCAGAGTTATTTGATGAAAAATCATTAAATAAATCTGATTCTTTGAAACATATTGATAGCTTAAAATCTTTGAATAATCAAAGTAAATTTCCTATTTCATTGGAAACTCCTGATAAAGTTACAGAGTTATTAAATGAGCAACCATCAAATAATGATAATGGTTCTATAAAAAGCTTTATTGACCCAACGTTATTAAAACCTCAAACTGAATTAGTTTTTTCATTGGAAACTCCAAATAAAATTATGGAAATGTGTGATGAGAAATCTTCAAACAAATCAGATTCTTTAAAAAATTTTGATAATTCAAAAGCATCGGAAAGCCCAAGGGAATTTCCTATTTCATTAGAAACTCCATGTAAAACAACAGAAATTTGTAATGAACAACAATCAATTACAAATGATTATTCAAAAAGTCCTTGTAATATTCAAAATAATCTTAACCAATTAAATACTATAGAAAAAGAAGCAACTATCTCATGTATTTCAAAAACCGTACCAGAAACAGAAAATATGAATAAAAAAACAGAATCCAACTTTTTAGAAACATTTAATAATCATAATTTATCTAAAGAAAATTTAGATAGTCAGACTTCACTTAATATCAAAACAAATAACTCAAATCAAGTAAATAGCCCTATAAAACTTAATAACATTCAACCAGTTAAACAAAAAATTTTTGAAACCCCATACAAATGTGATGATTCTGCTGTTGATGTACCCGAAACTCCAATTTCAAAACTGATAAGAGAGTATGATCCAAGTAAACTTATGACACCATTACCATCTACACCTGTACATTTTGACGATTCTTTGTCGGAAACTCCTTTGACAAAAGTATTCAGAGAAACTTCATATCTAAATCGACCTCCAATTTCGCCATTTCCACCTACTCCAGGGAATTCGAGGTCTGTTGATACTTTAATTCAACCTGAACAAGGAAATTCTAATACCATAATAGAATATTTAGAAAAACCTAATCAGTCAAATATCAATATTGAAAATCCAACCAATGTCAAAAAAGTTAAAACTTTACCTCTTAAAACCAAGACAAAACTTTCAACTAAAACCAAAATAAAAAATGGCTTAAAAGGAAAAAGTGTTGAAGCTAAAAAAAAACAAGTGTATGAATCTGTTAAAGTTGAATTATTTGGAAGTGAAATTACTTCAAGTTCAAGTGCAGATGAATTAGAAAAGACCAAAAACCAACATAAAACAATAGTAATAAATAAAAAAAACCAAGGAGCAGAAAAAAAATCTGGTTTTAAACCAATTCCTAAAAGAAAATCAATGCAGGCTCCAACTTCTCTAGTTAATGGTTTTGAAAATCCTTCATTGAATGAAATCAATACAATACTTAATAATTCAATGAAACCAGCAATAGAACAGAAAAACAATAGTACGTTGCATAAAATCGATAAAATATCAAATATTAAACAATTAAACAAATCAAAAAAGTCTATGGTGCATTTTGATGATCCAGTAGAACAATATATTAATCAATCTACAAAGTTAAATACATCTATAACTAGCAGTACAGCTGTTAGTAAAATAAAAAATAAAATTGTTGATGACAATTGCGAACCTTTGGTTGGTTTAAGTAGGTATTTAAACCAACCATCTTCATTTTATGAGTGTAATAGTACAAAAAAAAGTGGATCAGCTGAAAAAATAGCTAAGATTTCTAAACTAAATAATAGTGATTCAAATATTAATTATTCTGAATTTCATAATGAAATTAAATCCAGTGAAAACTTATCTATAACTTCTCAAACTTCTTTTATGGATAAAACAAAAACACATCAAATTAGTGAACAAAAAATTAAATCATTTGAAAACTGTTCAATGTTTGGAAATGAAAAAGAAAATAATAAATCATATTCACCAATAGATTCTATTCAATCTTCATCTATTTATACTAAGACTGCAAATCAGGATTGTAATTCTAAGAATAAAACGAACAATACAAGTATTCAAAACTCTAATTCATCTGTCAATAATAATATGATTAACACTTCTTGTATTACTGTTGGACATAACAATGAATTGAAAAAGGTTTATAATTCAGTAGATAATATTGAATATCTAAAAACACCTAAAGTATATGAAGTTATTAGCGATGACGGTGAACATCAGGTATGTTTTACAAAATGTCTTATATATGTTTAACTTTTATAATTTATCCTACCATTTTCTAGTTGGTAAATTTGCAATTAACTGAGCCATTCAGTCTTCTTGATATACCTTCAGAATTAAACAATGAACAACCATCCAATCCAAATTGTTCATCATTTATAACAACTAAAGAATTGGATGTTACTCCAGAGATTGAACCTGGCGAATTAAAAAAAGATGATAGCCCCATACCTGTGACTAGCACTCCTAAAGATGCTATTGTAAAAAGTGAAGAAAGAAAAAATAGATTTAGAAGAAGCCCCTCATTTTGGGAAGACTCTATTCATAATTACCCAGTTAATCATAGAGATGATAGATATAGAGAATCAAACAGTTGGCAAAGTAAAAGTAATCGAGATAGAAGATATGATAAAAAATACAGGTAAATAATTTTTACCTTCATAATATTTTATTTTTTATTTTTTTATTCACATACAAAATAGTGTGAGTAAATTCAAATTTATTTACTCCTTATTAACAGTGAATGATTGTTATATAGGCAAAATTCTCGACATCATGATGACCGATCACAATTTACTACTTTTAATCGATATAGTCAAAGGAGCCATCATATGAACATAAAAAATGAGTTTCGTGATGATGGAGTAAGAGATAAAGATAGATTTAAACATAAAGATGATAAAAGACGAAGCTACCGTGATGATCGTAAAGGAAGAGATCGATTAGATGAATCTGAAAGATTTTCAATTACACAAAGAATGTAACTATTACAAAATTCCATTAAATTTATATTTTATTTATTATTAATTATTTTATATGAAGAAAAATATAATATTTAAATTTGATTTCAATGTAAAAATATCGAAGTAAATTAATGTTCCTATTAGGATTATTTTTTACTTATTTAAATTTTATCTTTAATTTTTTTTTTTGTATTTATCATTTTTGTGCTATTGTGCTGTTTTCTAACACCATACATATAAATAAGCAATTATAATAATATTAAATATATTAATTTTTTTATTTATATAAAATCCACTAATCTGACTAATTTGTTAGAAGACATTAATCTTCTATAAACTTACATATTATTTTCAAATTAATAATTAATATGTTCAAAATATATATAATATTTTTCAATATACTGATATTAATTTATTGCTAATATTATATAAAGACATATTTAAGAAATTTTATTATCGCGTAACAAAAAAATTATTTTAATTATCACTCATTAACAAACTGCATAACAATTTTAATTTTATTAATTTAAATGTATTTTCAATTATTTTTTAGTGAATTAAATCATTCAATTATTTAATAATATTTCATAATATAGAATTGAGTTAATATTTAATTTTGTTATAATTGTTATTTTAGATCACAGAATGAATCTCAAAAACTCAGTAGAGCAGATGATATTGTAAAGAAAGCTACCAAAAGGCCTGCAAATCGAACAGATCATAATGAGGTAAATTCTTTTAAGATATTTATAAGAATAAAATTGATTGAATATTATTATATTATTTTCCGTCTGTATAATATTTTGCAGAATACAGTTTTATTATGCTTTAATTTAAATATTTGCTAAATATATGTGATAAATAAAATGATAATTTTCTTATTTTTCTTATAAAATATAAAATTATAAAAAAATATAACTAGAGAAATCTTATTCTTCTTACAATTTCATCTAATAAGAAACATTTTTCTTTTTTCCAGTGGTATATTTTTGAGGGGGGGTTCCCGGTTCTTGACTCCCTCCCTTATCAAAAAAAAAAAAAAAAAAAAAATAATAATAATAATTCAAAAGTAATAAATTACTACATACAAAGGTGCAGAGAAAGAGGGCATTAATTTATGTAATGTGGTTGTAAATGACTCAATTTGTATTTATAATAATAATAGAATAATATAATTATTCATACCTTATATGTATTTTTTATAATATTATAAAATTACTTATTTCTTAGAAAGTTTTATTAAAATACAAAAATGTATAATAATTTACCTTAACATGTTTAAAAATGTATGTATTCTATATATACTACCTTATTAGTTATTAATATTTAATGTATATACTTTATGGCTAATTCTTTGTATTAACACATTTTTTTTTTCAGATTCCACCAAAAACATCTAAAGTTGAACATCAACGATTGCTAAAGAATGTTAATGTTGATGATTTTTTGTCAGTAGTACATGGTCAAAAATGAAATATTTTCTGTAAAGTTGATATATTCAATGTACATTTTATACTTTTGATATAATTGCATATTTATGAATGTTAGTTACTATTTATTATTTTATTTATTTAATGTAGTATGAATTGTTTTAAGTATAAAAATAGTTAATGTTAAATATTGTAAATATTTTTTTACTTATAGTACCCATATTGATTTTTCACCAATTATGTACACTGTATTGTTTTTTATTGGTCAGTGTAGAAAATAAGTGTTTTAATTGAACATTCTGTTAAAAACAAAAAATATAATACATATAAATATATAAAATCTTATTCTGAAGTATTAATATGTTTGTAAAGTATGACCAGTTTCAAATTATAAATTTGTTGTTAGTTATATACAATGTCAATTAAACGGTATTTTTCTGTGCTGTATCTGTACTGTAGAACTGTGGTTTTCAACAATGCGGCACACTTAATCTCCAACAAAATTTTCATGGCACACCATCCATATAATATGTGAACTGTATTTTATATGTATATTGTTTACGGTCTACTCTATTAGAGGGTTAATTATTGTGAAATATATTAATATAATCAATTGATGGAGACAGCTGCGACGGGCATACTTACAATAAATAATATTACATGTATCTATGATTAGTTGGTAAATAAATACTAATTTTTTTTTATTAGAATAAACAGAAACATTTAAATTCTGTGTTCTAATGATTCAATAAGTAAATTATAGAATATGTACAAGACCTCTTGACGTGATAGGAGGCATCCAATGACACTACTTCAATAATAATTCTTCTTTGTTTTTTTTTTTTTTTTTTGCTAATTAGGTATGTAAGTAAATCGTGAGACCATTTATGTTTAAAACGGCAAGGGGTATTGTCCGGAATAGTGATAGGGGAATAGATTAAAAATTAATGGTTAAGATGGTTGTGTGCGCGCATGGAAGTTAAAATAATAAATGCGCGCAATAGTTGGAATAGTGCATATATTAAGGTTGTTTAAGATAAAGTTACTAACATACTACGGAGCTTTGGTTATTATCTTTAAATCAACTGAAATGTTTGAAAAATATTGAGGTTAGAAATTTTGACAAAGCCCCAAAGTTTGATACAATAGTCGGCGAATAATTTGTTGAGAAGATGTTTAAATTTATATAGCTTGAGGTTTAAGGATTTTCTCTTGATTTTTGTGTGTTTGCCCAGGTTAGCCTTTTATCAAGGTAAACACCTAAATATTCGACCGAGTCTACCTTAGGAATTATTTTTTTTGTTGAGGAATACTGGTGGACTATCATTGAGGCGGAGGCTAAAAGTGACATTATTAGATTTATTTTCATTAATCTTTATTCTCTATAATTTGAACCAATGCTACAATTTAAATAAATGATTTTGGAGATTTTTATGTTAAGGTTAGTGGAAATTACACGTATATCATCAGCAAAGATGGCTAGATAGTGTCGTTAGAATGGGGAATATCAGCCTTGAAAATATTGTAGAAGCAAGGATGCTGTCTTGGGGTTCACCTGCTTTAATAGGATGGACTGTAGATACCTAGTTCATCATCATAGTGTACCATAAATATCTAATAGGTAAGAAAGAATTTGAGTAAGAGATAAAGTGGGGTAGGTAAACAACGAAAATAATATAAGATGCCTTCATGCGAAACTCGATCGAACGCATGAGCCACGTCAATAACATTTTTGTTATTTATTTTGATTTATTTATTACATCAATGCAGTACTATTTAAAGGAAGAGACTATTTCAACTACTAATGTATGAATTTGGTGTAGTAAGGAATGTTTACTTCTAAAACCAACTTGAGTATTTGATGGCATTTTTTGTATTTGAATGGTTGGGTAAATTGTTTTTAGTATTATTTTTTCGAGAATTCTTAAAAAGAGAACAATAGGCTGATTGGTCTATCTCGTAAATGAAGAAGTAATGTCCGGAAGTTTTCCAGTCTTGTGAATGAATATTAATAACGGAATGTTTCTAGGAGTCAGAAAAATAGGATAGTTGAGTGTAGAATTGTATAGCTTATTTGAAATAATATAACTTTTTTGGGTAGATGTTTGATGATTAAGTTGGTAATAAGATCTTAATATTGGAGATTTATTTGTGGGTAGTTTTTTAATTAAATACTGGATTTTAGAGGGATTGGTGTGCTAAATTAGAAAGCACATGGGGAGGGTATTAGATAACGATGTTTCAATGTAATTTATATGATCTAAGTATGCTGATATCTTGAGTTTGGCAAAAATTTGTTTTCCAGATTGGAGGCAATTAAGTTAGCTTTGTCAAGGTCTGAAAAAGCCAGAGAGTTGTTTGAATTACGTAAAGGGGGTATTTTTTTTTTGTTTTATTATATTTTTTATTGTTTTTCAGAGAGTTATTTGAACTGTTAATTGATTTACGATAGTAATGCTATTTTTCTGTTTTGTATTTTTGGAGAGCATCAAGGTTGTTATATATTTTTTTTGCATATCACCATTATGGAGAGCCTGCAGTAATTGAAGTCATACCGGTTTAAATTTCAAACGTTTTTGTCAAACACGCCAAACTGTTGTCCGGGGCAAAGCAAGCTCTCTTGATGCACGTCTAACTGATTTCTACGAACTTCTTTCGAAACAGTTAAGAATTTGTTCAACATTTTCATCCGAATCTCTTGGTCTTTGTCTTCCTCCTACATAAGCAACCGGTTTCTTGAAAAGTTGTATACCATCATTGAGTACTCTGAGCTATAGGAGGTTCAATGTTAAACTTTCGTCGAAAATCACGTTGATAACAGACTTGCACTTCTGGAAGCCAAGCACAGAAAACGCTTTTGTTGTTCGGTCGAAATTTTGACAACAATCATCGAGATAAAGAATAAACATTACGAATAAATATTCTTTATCTCGATGTTTAATACAAACAACGAATTCGATATTATTAACTTACTAAAATCGAATGAATCAATTTGGGACATCTGTACGTTGAGGTATTATTTTCGATTATTTTTGAAAAAGTTTTCCAGTAAGTTTGACCTGGCGTATTGAAGTATCGTTTAAAGTTAGGATAACGAGTGAATGATAAGAAGAAAGACCAAAAGAATTAGTATTGTTCTATTTTATGTGATTTGGGAGTATTGTGACAGAAATTAAGGATATCTGGGTGTATATTATTATGCTATAGCCAATATATTGGGTTGGGGGAGAGAGTACCTTTAGGTTGTTAGAGTTATGCAAAACGCGGCATCTGATGTTTGTTATTCTTGATCCCCAAAGGAAATGTTTACAGTTAAAATCATCCCCAGCGAGAATTATAAAATTGAGTAAGATCATTAGTATTTTTTAGTTTTTAATTAGAAGGACAATACACTGATGATATGGTAAATGATATATGGTAAGCAGTAAAATCAAGGGCGTATTTGGGGGGGGCGAAGAAGGTATTCGCCCCCCATGGATTGTATTTTTATTGAATATAAATTACTAGTCTATCATTATATGTTATCATTATAACAGAAACATGAGCTGTAAACTATTTTTAAGTTTGTATTGAAGAAAAATTAGTTTACCCCCCCCCCCCCCATGGCCTCAACTCATATACGCCCTTGAGTAAAGTAATATTAGTGGCTTGTATACTTTTGGTTTGATAAGAAGGCATAAATGAATGTTTGTATTTTGAATTAGTTAATGTTGTAGAACCGGCAAGAGCAGTGCCATCAGGTGAATCGCAGTAGCAAGTTTCGTAGCCAGGAATTTTATAAGATGAGATAGTCGTTTGAAGAGATTCGCTTATTAGTAGTATACCTATGCAGTTATTTAAGATCAAAATTTGAAGCTCGTTTTTTTGATGTATTAATTCATTTGAGTTTCAAAGCTATAGACTGATGAATATTGTTACATCTATTTGACATTGTTGGAGCTTGTCAATAACTGTTGTGAGGAGTAATCAATACAATACAAGCAAAACAAAAATAAATACATACTTATAAAACAATTTATAGATTTATCGCGGCACACTTCAAGGGAGCTTGCGACATAACAGTTGAAAACCACTGCTGTAGAATAAGAACAACGTGATATATCATATATAAGAACACACAGATCACGTAGTTTGAACCCAATAATCAAACATAATTTTTAATGTTTTGAAAAAGATTTCTATACAATTATGACTAAACCATCAAAAATTTGAATAAGGAATTAATGTTGACTGCCTTTAAACAAGATAATAAATTGTATAAAAAATATTTTATTTTAACATTTATTGTTTATATTAAGCTCATTAATACAGATCTTTTTATAGTATTAAACATTAAAGTTAACAACATTAAGTTTTAGTTAATGAAAAACTGTTAACAATAATTATAATTGTTTACTTAGTTACATTAAAATTTAATACAAACATTTATCTCAATCACATGAGAACTAACAAAAAAAAAAAATTATTTGGTAAACAGAGTATCCCAAAAAAGTAAAAAAACATCAAATTTGAAATCTAATCAGATCTTAGAGACTTTTTTTATATTCAACAATAAATATACTAAAATATAAGAATAAAATATCACTAATTCTGTTATTTAATACTATTAACAGCAAAAATAATAAACTTAATTTGTAAACAATAAAATATTTGTGATGTAAAAATAAATTAGAACATATAAGTACAAAACCTTAAGCGTACATTCAGATTGGTTACAATGCAACAAATTACAATATTTACCTGTATACAATTTCAAACTGTTGTTCAATAGGCTATATATATATAAATCATCAGCAATTATTTTTTTCATTTTTAATCATATGTATTCCCTTTACTTTTATAATGTGAATAACAGGCACGGGCAGCAATTATATTAACAATTAATTTAAATTTATTAAAAATTTTGTACAACAATATGTATCAAAAACAAGAGTAATTGTATACATGATGTCAATTGTACTTGAAATATGTTGAATTTTTAAAATATCAATAGATATTTTTTATTTAAAATATTTACATTTGATTTTCAAAGCTTTTAATTTTTCATAAGACGAGAACAATTTTACTTTGTGCATTTGATACAATAAAAAATAATTATTTTTTGTTGATTACATACCTAAAAATTGTATAATATTTATTTAAATATTAAATCACAACTCACTTTAAAATTTAACAAAAAAAATATTGCGCATAATCAAGTCTTATGAAGTATAGTTTATAGTAAGTAAATTTTACTTTTTTATTTTAAAAATATTCTTAGTCAACTATTTTTTCAATAAAGAAATGAACAAAAGGCAGTTACATTTTAAACTGAAAATTAAACATTAAACTTTAGTTCAAATAATAAAAAGAAATGTTGAGCACCTTTAACGAATATATAAAACAAATGTTTAAAAAATATTTAATATAACCATATTATAAAATATAATTTTAGCAACATAGAAAAAATTATTTTACCAGATAAATTGAATATACAAAAAAAAATTCTTCAAATATTAATATTTAAATTAATATATTATTAATAAAAATAGGACTGAAAAAAAACATACAAGACAATGAGGTATTTAAGTGGCTGTATTTTTACAAATAGTTCAAATTTTAATTTATTTAAGGGTATTTCAGTTTTTAGTTTTAAATTTCTTATATTAAGTCCAAAAACCTTAAGTTATTAAAACTCAGACATATAATAAACTAATCAACATTTATAAAATTCAAAAACTGTATGTTAGTCCAGATATTCCCAAACTGTAGGTGGCTAAATATTGTTAAATGACTTTTTTAAGAAATTTTAAAAATATTTAAATTTAATCAAATAATACTTCAAATTGCTGCATTATAAATTTTCAACAATTGTTATGTTATATTCTGATATATTAAGGGACATATATTAATTATTTAGATATAAGTTATATTATTTAAAACTGATGTATTTAAGATTCAGATTAAATTATTTGGTTAAAATAAAATATTAATACATAAGTATATTATATTGTATCAATTTTTTTTTCATTATTTTTATTTTTTATAGCGTGTTGCAAAAAATAAAATATTGTAATAATGTGTCACCATAATAAAGAGGTTCAAAAACACTGAACTATATATTCTACTTTATAGTTTTATCTCAAAGATCATTGATTTAAATCAGTGGTTCTCAAACTGGGCGCCCCTCATGTGGGGCATATACACATTACTGGGGAGGCGCAAGCAATTATTATAAAATACAATTTTTATTGATTAATTCCGAATATTGTATAGTTTATCTATAAAGTACCCAAAAACTGGTGATCAATTTCTTTTTCAATTTTTAAGAGAGAGGGGCACGAAATTTTTGAAAGAAGAATTAGTAGAATAAGATGAAGTTGGGAACCATCGATTTAAATTATGACTATAAGTTTATACAGAAAAATCATAGATTTAAATGACCTCAAAAAATAAAAAGATAACTATTTTTCAGTGTTTAAAATATTTGAAAACTTCTGTGTTAGTCTATTAAAATTAAAAAAAAAACAAAATTGAAAATAATTAGTAAGACTAAGCAAAAAAAAAAAAAAAAAATTATACATTTAATTGATCTATAAATTGTGAAGTAATAACATTTAGTGTATAAAAAATTAGTTATTTTCAAAAATCACCTAAGTGTAGCCAAATCAATATTTTGTCTTCAACACTGAAAATAAAAATAAATTAATAAAAATGATTAATTTTACAAACTTTATATTTTTAAATAATAAACCTTTTAAATAATAATATTGTTTTGATATCAGTCAATATTTCACATCACATATGAACAGTAGCAGCTGTATAACGAGCTTCTCCTTTTTTCCAACTCCACTGATTAGGTCGATACTAAACAAAAATAGTGTTAAATAACATATAATGTTAATTTAAGTATATTATAATTTAAAATTTATAATGATATTTATATTAATATAAAATATTAATAATAAAATCTATTATAAATTTATAATAAATGGTTAATTAATAGATTAAATCTATTCTGCAGTTTAGCTGTTTAACAGGTATAATAAATAAATAGTACAGATATCATAATTTTTATATTATCTAATAATATTAAATAATGTAATTATTCTTTTTCTTTTAAAATAGATAGAATAATATTTTGTTCTGTTGTATGAAACAGTTGCATTTAAACAATCAAAGCAACCAAATATCATTTTAATATAGTAGTCACTCATTTTATAAAAATATATTTGTTTTTAAATGAAGAATAAAAGTTGGGATAAGCATGCCCGCTTTCCCCTCTAGATCCAGCACTGGTTTTACAATAAAATACTAACTCTGATTAACATTTGTCCGGACCGTGTATGTGGATTCAAATAAGCATATAATATCCAAACTGTTGACATTATAATTAATGAAATGCATAATGCAATGAAAAATAGACTGGTATTTGAATGTGAAGAATCTGTGTCTAATATATAAAAAGATAAATTGTTAAGTCAATTACATGTTAATAATTAATGTTACAAATAGTGATAAAAATTTTTTACGTGATTCAGATTTTACAATTTCTTCTGTGCCAGAATTATCAATAGTAGAAGGTGTTCCTACTTCAGCTGAGCATATATCTTTATCATAAAGTTTCAATTTCTCACAATCTTTCTTATGCCATTCTTGACGATTACGATCCACTCCTGAAGAGCATCGATTGTCACACCAGTAACACTATAACACAAATAAGTATTTAATATTTAATAATATAATTAAATTAACAGAAAATATAAACACATTAATTTAATTAATGAAGTGCACTTTATTAAAAATTATATTTTTTTATATATTACTTCAAAATTAATATCCTTTTTCATACAACTAGTACAATTTTTCTTTTCCAAACATGTAGGCAATGCAGTTAAAATAATGACAGTTCCGTTTGTTACATCATCTTCGTTAAGCCCTATTCTATGATATTCATAAATGGTTTTCCGCCTCATAACTATAAAAAAATATATATAAAAAGGTAAACAAAATATGTACATTACAGTATTGATATAATTATCCAATTCCTTTAAAAAATTAAAAACAATGCTCTCAATATTTTGAAATATTATTAATACATCTAAATTTAAATTTAAATGTTTATTATTTAAGCTTCTCGTCATATCTTTAATTAGTTGTCTTAAAATAAAATTTCATATTGATTTAATTACTTAAATTTAATTTAATTTTATCAGAAATCTACGGTTTTAAAAATGTATAGAAATTATGACTAAAAATAATAAAGTAAATAAGTAATTATACATTGATCAATATTAATATGCTGAGATAATATTCTAATATTATTTGCCTTTTTATAATATAGTAAATAGATTTATTTGTAATATAATACTAACAATATTCTGTTTTGTCCATTATATATGCATCAGATAAACCAATCTTCACAGGATGATTAGTAAAATCAATATCTTTGATTTTGATTGGTAAATTTTTATAAGCAAACACAACTTTTCCATTTGAATGTAAAGTTGTTTGGAAAGTAAATCCTCCAATATTAGGTTTATCTTGAAGTATAACATTATTCCAAGTAACTGTTAAGGCAGTTCCATTGTCCATGTAATAAATATTTGATTCATTTGATGTACTCAAATCAAAATTGGCCATCAATGGTGCTATATATTGGGTGGCTGCTAACCAAGAATGAATGTAATCTCCTAAATACATGAAACCTCCAGTTGCAATAGTTGTTGAGTTTAATAAATGCCCATAAAATAGGAACTTAAATTTCAAGTTGATAGTCTGGAACATTGGTATAATATTATATTTTTCCATTTTTTTTTTTCAAATAAAAATTCAGTAACCAAAAATAATGTTTTATTTTACTTACTGCAGCTCTACGGTGAGAATCTGATAACATTTCATGTACATTAGCATTGGGATGATTCATCAATTCCACCCAATAATCATTAAAAACATTTTTATCATAAAATGTTGTGCTATTGTAATATGTATGAGAATCCTAAAAACCATATAAACATTAATTTTTTACCATCATTCTTTTTAAGAATATCATCAAAGTAAGACTAAGAATCATCAAAGTATAAGAGTAAAATAATTCAAATATTACTAAATATTTTACGTTTTATATCATACAAAGTTATGTATGAATCAACAACAAGATAGATAAAAATATTCTTAAAGTTATTGAATAAATTCAATAATATAATCTATAAATAATATATTCAATAATATATTAGCAATATTATTCTTAACAATTCAACAGATTTAAACAAATACATATTTTAATATAATAATAAATAATTTATAGCATTAGTTAGTTCAGTAAATTAAGAACTCTACCATGTGTTTAAACATAGAAATAAAACCATTTTTTACTATATTATTTCTTAAATACAAAAAAAAAAAATTAAGAAATTAAGAAATATTTTAAATGTAATTTTTTATAAACAAAATCAAAAATGTAACAATTAATTAATGAGTTTGATGCATTTAGTTTTTTATTTATTATTATATTACATCAAATCATAAAAACTTCTTTCCTAAATGTAAACTCAATAAACAATGTAAAATTTCTAGATTAAAACAAACCCAAATCAGTATCAAATGTTTTATTCTTTTATTATCACAATGGTTAATTTAACCATTAACATCTACACAAATAATAAATATACTTACATTTTTTGATTTTGTTATATTATGAATTAAAAGTGTTTCATTTGTAATGGCAGATGGAAATTCTAAATTACCTGACTGAGTTGTTCCTAAAAAAAATAATTATAGTTAAAATAAATTTACCTATTTAAACCATTAATATGACAAATAATTACAATATAAAAATTTTATGTAGTTATAAAACTGCATGATTAAATTTGGAATAATTGAACCTACCACATATTTAATAATTTTTAAATTTTAAAAGAACTTGATATAAAATTATTTTTACCAAATTCGAACAAAACACTTTACCTGTATAACTTTTATTTTTTGAATTCTCTTGAGCTAATGGTTTGTTATTTATTGGAGTAAGTTGGCTTACAAGAACTTTTCCAGTATCATTCATAGCAGATGAATTAGTGGTAGGTAGATTTAATTCTACAAATAAAAACAACTTAAATAAGATTATATTAACATAAATAACAATGTAAAATTAATAAAAATATATAGGTTTTATAACTTAACAAATTACACAATAAAAATAATTTATTAATACTTAAATCTCATGAAAGCAGCAAACTACCACTGTTTTTTCTGGGACTAAATTTTAGTACTGACTTATGTACATAAATATTAGTACAACCACAATTAAATCTAACTTTAAAATATTAGTATAAATAATGTTGGAACTAATTTTAATAGATTTTGAAATTTGAAAGATATTTAATAAAAAATTGTAGGATTATTATAAAAACTTACCATTTGTTATTTTAGTTCCATTCAATTTTTCTTTAAATGCTGGGATGTATGTACTTTTTTGAGTAGATGTAGAAAGAAGAGATTCAGCATTTCTTTTTATACGTATACTTGGAAGTGCAATTATATCAGGGTCTAAGAAACTTTTTTTGAGTGCAGAACTTTTATATAAATATTCTGAAATTTAAAAATAATAGAACAGTTTAAAGTAAATTTTGCTTTAAGAAAAAGGGAAATTGATCCCTAATAAACTAAACGTATATATATATATATATATATATACTGTTATATTATTATATATACAGTGTATAAACGCTAATTGATAATGCTCAATATCTTTGCATAAAGATCTGCAATTTCAATTCTGTTTTTAGTTGATTATTACGACAATTATAAATTAAGATCAAAAAAATTAAGGTACTTCTAGTGATTCGATTTAAAAAATATAAAAATGTTTGAATAAGTAAACAAGTTGCAACAACTGCATTGGTAGGAGCCATAGGCGTGTGTGCAAGGCGAGGTGGTTGACCCCCCCGCTCGACCAAAATCTTTTTAGGGGCATAATAAAATTTCAAATTTGTGTGTTTATTTAATTATAACAATAAGTTTAAGAAGATCATGACAATTTTATTTCGTAATAGTGAAATAAAATAACAAATATTTGTGTACCACTACATCAATTTTATTAATTTATTCATCAAAAAAAAACATATGTACTTTGACTATTGACATTAATAGGTTGACTATAAATAAATACATCGTTTTATTTTCATATATATCATGTATAATTAATAGTTTTAATATTAAGATAAGCAGACCTGCACCATCTGACTCGTGGAAAAACTACGTTTATAGTGAATCGCTTTCACTATTTGCTCTGCAATAATATAATGATTAGATTCTAATCAGTTAACTGTTTACTGTTGACACTTACCAGCAGTAGTGCCCGCATAGGGTATTAAGTGGTGCAATTGCACTGATTTCTAGTGAGTCCTAGAGCCTACATACATTTTTGGCCCCACTTTGGTCATTGGAGCAAATACTATAAAAGTAAAATTATTTATCTGGATCATTAGACTGTTGAATAAAAAGGAAAGAGTAGGCAGTACCAAATATGCAAACAAATATTAATGTACAATAACTAATATATGTATATATATAACTATAACAATGTTGATTTGTTTATAGTTTGTATCAGGGTTTAGAAATGTGCGATAAGATTTATATGATATTATGTTAATATGTTATGTAACTACTATATAGAAATAAATTATAATGAATAGATAAATTCTGTAAAACAAGTTAAAACATATTCAATGTCTTAAATTAAATCAATGATCAAATATAGATCAAAATAAATTTGGGCCCTATAATTATAAATGCACTGGTTCAAGGAAAACCTGTGGGCGCTACTGCTTGTCTAGTCAGTGTTTAGTGATTACTGTGTTATTATGTAATGTGTTAACTGTTTAGTAATATTTATATTATAGTGTCGTTAAATTATAGTGTTAGATATTATAAATTATTTTTCAATATTTCAAATATATCAAGTCAACGAAGTGGTTATGAAAATAGAAATCGTCAAACTATTTTTCATCAAACGTATTACATTTTCAAGACTGTAAGTATTGAAGCGACGTACGCAGGGAGAGGGGGGGCTAACGGGCTGAAGCCCCTCTCATTGCCCGTATTATTATTTTTGTTTTTAAATCTACCAACGATTTAATACAGTATCTCAACGTGTGTATTTACCATAAATAATACATAATGTAATATCTATGGTACTTACCCATTTATTAGAACCATGGACTAAGATATTAATAAATATTATACATATCAGTCTGTTATAACGACCACAGTTTATAGATGTGTATTTATTATCTATGATTACAAATGAACTAATGTTAGCAACAATCCAAACATCGTTAATCTACCAAACATTCCAAAGATTAACTATTAGCCAAATTGCAATCTGGGGGGCTTGGGTGTACTTAGCACCCTCATTTTCGAAATTAATGTCCCCAAATGTGTTTATGTTAATTTAGATTCAAATACTCATTATTCGTTATGTATAGAAAAACATAATAGTTTTTGAGTTTTTTTGTATAAATATAAATTTTTATATAATACGAAAAAAAATATCTTTGCTATAGGGTAATAGTTTCAAGTTTCTAGCCACATTACTTTTGGAATTATGACTAAATAACTAAAATTTGAAATGTGAAAGTCTTATCTATAGCGTATTTTTACCATTTCAGGACAGTTTTTTTCTCACGTCTAGAAAAACTGTTAAGATTTAAAAAAATGACCTATCTAAAAAGTAACACCGAATGCCAATTTAAAACCTAAAAAACGACAAAAATCCTAGAAAAAACTTTTGGACTAATATTTCTATCCGAAAAAGTGTTAAACAAATAAAATACAAACATTATTATAAAACCATAATATTCTTCGCTTTAGTCAGGGTCTAAAAGTGATAATTTGATAAAAAAATTTGTGTTTACAGACAGGTAATGCGTTATACGCACAATAAAAATATAAAATCAAAGTGAACAATTTAAATTTATAAATATTCATATATTTACCAAATATTTTAGTAACTGTTGAATTGTACGATTTGCAGATGTCTATAACCATTAAGGAACATGAAAAAGATAGAAGGGCTTCAACACCCCCAGTTTTTGCATTGAAATTGCGCCCCTGAGATTAGCTTTACCAAATATCAATAAAAAAGAAAATCTGACCGAATTGGAAGTTCTGCAACAATTTTCAAAAACATCACCTAAGCAACTACAATTATTAAACTAGACTAAATAAAAATGTATTTTATTGGCCATTATCGTTGATTAGCATTTTAATAGGAATTATTGGTGACCGAACGATTATATTAAATAAAATAAGATTATTGACAAATTGTGAGTTACCAGGTACATTATATATATTGCAATGATATAGTTCTCACGTGTGCGTATTTCTCAGTAATCACCTCAATCATTCAACTATTATACAAAATATAAACTTATATTTCATACCCGACTAATAAACAAAGAAAACAGTCAACAGCAAGTAATAAAAATATTTTATAATAATGGCTGTATAATTTGACTTAATTTTCAAATAAATTATTTCGGGGGAGGGGGTTGAACCCAAACCCCCCCCTGTATACGTGCCTACTACAAGATACTAGAACACATGTAGTATAATATGTATTAATAAAATAATACTACATATTTTATTTATATAACTATATATATATGTATATAAATAATATATTATAATGATATAATTTTGAATAAATAATTAACACAGAAATTCTACAGTCAAAATTAAATAAGTAGGTAATCAAATCAATTTGAATTTTTGCGCTAAATGGTGCAAAAACCTTATACACACAAAAAATGTAATAGTGCAGTGGTAGTCAAACAGGGGGGGGGATAGATCCCCCTCCCATGACCTTTTTTTAAATATTTATATTTCATCCATATTATACATGATATAATAAAGGTATTCATCTATTTCATATTTAAAAAAATAAATATACTGTACTTATTAGTTATTATACAGTCTCTAGGCTGGAATAGAATTACAGTTCAAACATAAAACACTAAAATATTAATTGAAACAAACTTTTTAAGTTTTTTTCATTTATTTTATAGTTAAATAATAAGAATGTATGAAATTTAAATTTAGTACTTAATGCTTAACATAATATATTATATTATTATATGAATTGTGTAATTATATTATAATAGAGTCATCTCAATGGTTTAGTCACTATGGCTGTTCATCTTGGGGTTGTCAATATTACTGCAGACGAAGTACTGGACGAAATGGCAAAAAAAAACCAGAAAAAATAAATTTAATAATATAAATAACATTAATAATATCATTAATATAATTTAATTTTCATGTTTAAAAAAAAAATTCTTATACATAGTGTTTGTTAAAAAAAAATCAGCTATATCCCCCCCCCCCATAACAAAATCATTTGACCGCCACTAAATAGTGATATTGAAAGTCAACCTAACAAACTTGAGATACTTCTTAGAAACTTTTTTTAGAAATATAACAGTCTTAGTCATAATGGGAAAGCCTATGTCCTTGATTAATTAAAGGAGGTATCTCAAGTTAGTTCCTGAAATTAATCAAGGACATAAGCTCTCCCACTATGACTGTTATATTACTAAAAAAAGTTTCTAATAGACAGCCTCAAAAACATAGGTATACCTATATACATATGCAATGGCGTAAGAAGACTAGGTAGCGCCCCTGGCGAACTTAGAAAATAGCGCTTTTTAAGCAAATAAAATTTGATATAAAGATATTTTTTTTTTAAACCTTTAATTTTATTATTTATATTTATATTTATTTATTATTTATATTATACAATTTATATTTATAAGATATTTTTATGGTATTAATTTTAATCTTTGAAAAATTGCTTTTCTCCCTTTAAGACTTAATGACATTATTCCTTCATATGAAATTTTTTATTTAAATACTCTTATGCTATTTTCATAATTTCATCATTAAATTCACACGTAGTATCTATTTAGACAGCATCTACGTATTTCAAAAAGTATAACGAAAAGATTTCGACTTATTTGTAGGATAAAAATACGAATTTTTCACAATTTTGCGCCCCTGGCGTAGGCACAGATCGCCATACCCTTGCTACACCACTAGGTATATGAATTGGGACCTTTTCTGTTAATTCACTACCACTATTTTTTTTTATTTTTTTTTGGTTATTTTTCAAACCGTATCTACGTTATTACGTGTTATAAAATAATAACTTTGTGAATAATCGTTTAGTTATAGTATAATACCTTATATTTGTGGTTTAGATATGTGATTTACTCGCGCAGCGATAATGTAGGTTCACATACAAAGCATAATCCCATTTGCAACTATATCAAGGTTTGTACAAAAACTAGGTTAAGCTTAGACTAGGGTTGCTATAAATTTATAAGGCGAAACCGGGACACAATAGACACAATATTGAGTAATATACTTTTTATATAACTTAATACATAGAGTGGGCGTAAACAAGGGGGGGATGTGGAGGTCAGATCCCCTAGGCCTTAAATGTTATAAAATAATGTCCTTAGTGTGAGGGCGGTAGAAATGTAGAAAACAAATAATGATAAAATAAAAATAAAGATTTGTTTGCAAAT